TATTTCCGGAATTTTTTCATCATCAGAAATTCTGCACCCATTAAACAAATTTCCATTCTCCCCTCCCCCAACTCCTGGTGGCTTCTAGTCCACCTGATGAGCTTACTAGTTCTAGGTACCTCATTATAAAATGAGTAATATGCTATTTGTTGTTTTGTGTCTAGTTTATTTTACTTAGCATTATGTTTTCAAAGATCATCCATGGCGCACATTCCAGAACTTAATTCCTTTTGATGGCTGTACCCCAATTTTAAAGAAGATTAAGAAACTTTCTCAAAATCTTTCTTAAGAAAGGGTTAAACTCAGGTCTGAATTACAGGACTCAATGAGAAGGTCAGATCGCCACAGTTTGTTCCTTCCAGCTCCAAAATAGCTAGTATCAATTCCATGTTTTGTTGAGTCCTTTGATTTCAGAAAAATGTCCATTAGGACCCTTTTCAATGGTTGACCTAAGATATTCATATTCTGAAAACAAATATCTTTCTCATTTGCACCAGGTGTACAAATTGTCATGCCTCTTTTCTACTATGTTGCATAGGCCACAGGCATAGTAATAAGTTTGGGTGCATTAGTTTGGTTTGACAAAGGATTGTGTGTGTGCATTTAGGAGAGAGGACTAAGAAAGAAGATGAGTCTTCTCTCTAAGAGGTAATCTTAGCAACAGTTACAGAATAATCAATTTGTTTATGAACATAAACAATTAGTGATGGTCCAATATTAATGGCAAGAAAATTTAAACAGGTCCTTACACAGCATGCTTTGTTTCCTTAAAGGCTGGATGATGCTTGAACATCTTTTACTTTTTTCCTTCTTTTTTTTTCTGGCAGTACTGGGGTTTGAACTCAAGGTCTTGTACTTGCTGGGCAGATGCTCTACCACTTGAGCCATTCCACCACTCCTGAAGTTTTTCATCTTATGATTAGACATATGGCTCAAAAAGAACTGGTGAAGTGGATCAGGTGGTAGAGCGCATGCCTAGCAAGCACTAGACCCGAGTTCAAACCCCAGTACCACCAAAAAAAAAAAAAAAAAAAGAGGAAAATAATACAGTTGCTTAAATTCACAGTCAGATGCAAATAATATCAAATTCTATTGATGGAATCAGGTTTTCTCACCAGAAAAGGGTGTAAGAGAAACATGCTTGGGCAGAGTACAGAGGGAGCCTGATGGGAAGACTTAGCACTGAGCAGCTCCTTTGCCTCGGTCCCAATTTTGACCAGGTTTAGATAAGGTCTGTGAGGAGCAGGGTAGGTTTGATAGGAAGGACAGGCCTCTAAACTCTAATGCTGTGATTCTCATCCTCAGCTGTACATTGTGCTGTGTGTGGGGGTTGGTTTTTTGGGGTGCTAGGTATTGAATTCAAGTCCTTAAGCTTGCTAGTCAAGTGCTCTAAACTGCATCCCAGCCCTTACTTTTTTAAGTTCCTTTAACTGTACGCTGGAATCACTAAGGAGTTTTACAAAATAGTAATGTCTGGATAGTAACTTTAGGGATTTTGAATTAATTTAACCTGGAGTGTGCCTCAACATTGGTTTTTTTGTTGTTGTTTTTTTTTCCTTAGTGCTGGGGGTTGAACCTGGGCCTCAGGCATTCTAGGTGAAGTATTGTACTACTGAGCTACATCCCCAGCCAGTTTAGAGGTAATCCTCACCAGCAGCAGTCTGAGAGCCACTGTCGAAATATACCACCCTGTTGCACACGACCCACCTATTTTTCTCTTTGTTCTCCCCAACTTTTGTCTCACAACCTAAAGCAGCAGTTGAGCGGGGGAAGGGAGGACTAGACTTGCAGGAGAAGCCACCTGGTTTCCTTTTTCTTTGTCATTTCAGCTCTTTGTAAATTTAAACAAGCATGTCCAGGTCCTATTCCTGTATCCACCCCAGACTTTGCAAGTGACCTAGGATAGCTTACCTCACCTTATCTGCCATCTAGGGACACCTTTACCAGCTTAGTTTGTTCCTGTGTTTCTGACTTTGTTCATGTCAGCATAAGAATCCTGTCCCTCTTTTCTGGATAGGCAGTGAATGTAAAGTGCTGCAAAGTGGAAGGTTCCTCTTACAGGTGGCTGTTGATCCGGCACCTATCACCAGGAACTAAATTTACTTTAAAGAAGAGTGCATATCAAATTACGCATCAGAAAGCCTGTTTCATTAAAGAGCAAGAAAGGGGACAGTGTTTTCCAGAAGATGAAAAGCAGGCATTTCTTTTTTTTTTTTCAGAAGACTTGACAAAACACCAACTGGATATCAAATGCTCAGTAGAAAATCTCCATCTGACTCCTCCCTCCATGAGGCCAGGAGAGCAAATGGCGGGCAGGAGCCACACAGGGCCTTTTTATGGCATTAGGGAGGCCAAAATTGTGAATGGTGCTTCACTGAACTACTGAGTGAACTTGGAAAAGTCACTTAACCTCTCCAAGCTTCAATTTCCTTATCTGTGAAAATAAACTGCATTGTACTATCCCTTGACTTAGGGTAGCTGAAATAGACCCCTCTTCATTTGTAAGGCCTAAGTCTAGAAGTACAGAGCCCATCCGATTCAGAGATGATTCACAATGCTAAAATCCTTAAGATTATCTGAAGTTTCAAAATATAATTCAGTAAGATGTTCCCAATGTATAAAGATAGACAAAATTTATATTGAGCCAGGTGCTGGTGGCTCATGCCTGTAATTCTAGCTAGATCAGGGGGACTACGGTTCAAAGCCAGCCCAGACAAATAGTTCAAGAGACCCTATCCTAAAAAAAACCATCACAAAAAAAAGGGCTGGTGGAGTAGCTCAAATCCCAGTACCAAAAAAAAAAAAAGTTGAACGTGATTGTTATTAGTATTTTAATTAGGTTTTTTATCACCCTCAAAAGAAATTCCTTAACCTTGACATATGTCAATGATATTAGCCAACATTTTACTCAAATTAATAAACTGGGGCTGGGGTATAGCTCAGTGGTGGAAGGCTTGCCTAGTATGAGCAAGATCCTGGGTTGAATCTCAGCCAGGCAAGGTTAGGGATAGCCTGGGACCTCTCCCACTCTCTGCTCAAGGGGTACTCCCTCTGGCCCACAGGTAACAGGAGGTAGGAGCTGAGGTATTGTCTCCCCCCTCCAAGTTCAAGGTGGTATAAAGCAATCCCCAGGAGACCCCATGCTCTCTTTCTTCCCTGGTCCCTTTTCCCTCACCTGGCGGGCCAGCTGACCCCTTCTCTCAATAAAGCCACCCTACCTGGCCCCATCCACGTGCTCTGCTTGGATTCTTCCACTTGCAGCACAAAAACCAGGATCTTCTGGTCACAGACTGCAAGGAGAGCGGTTAACAAAAATCCTCAACACCAAAAGAAGAAAATTAACGGGCAACCTAGAAACATTTCCTTTTAGTATATGTGTTTTATGTTACTTTATTTTGACTGTAACTTCTCTAATTGATGATAGTTAGGGCTCTACAAACTTAAGTCCCACACATATAAATATTATTTGCCCAGTTTTTCAGGCAAGGCATGTAGTGTCAGAGCATCCTAACTAGGTTTCGTCCTCAGCACAGGGGTGGGTCAATTATTTTGGTTCCCACAATATTTCTCTGAAGAAAACAGTGTAGCTACAATATTGTCATCTCACAAAAAGAGAAATAATAATATACATGGCGTGACTGGCCACCATGTTTCAGCCAGGCAGGAACAGAACTGGGACAACTTGGGTTTACTGATGCCCAGGCAAACCACAAAACCAGGAACCTGAGATCACTTCCTTCTAAGATAAAGTATTTTAGGAGGCTTGTTCCAGGCCAGCATGGGCTATATAGTGAGACCCCCCCCCCCCACGCCCCTCTCAAAAAAAAAAAAGCGGAGGGCTGGCACAATGGTAGAGCGCAGGCCGAGCATTCCTGGGTCATTCCCCGAACGCCGCAACAACCAAAAAAAGGGGGCGGGGGACATGCTCTGTACCTGGCCCAAACAGCACCCTGTGGAGGTAAGCAGGTGTTAGTCATTTCCAGGCGTTCTAACCTGGTTGGGGCTGAAAGGGGCGATGGACGCTAAACGGCTGCCTGGCAGCTCCTACTGCATTTTCCCCATTGTTTCAGGAGCTCCCCTCCCCCCAGGTTAGAGCTGGGTGGGCCACCGTAGGGCTTTGCGGGCGAACATCTCAAATCCACTGTCTGCCCCTCATATAAGGACAGTGTGCAAGTGTTGAAAGAGAGCAGAGGAAGAAGAGGATACTAAATGGGGGATAGCTTAAATAAGCTTGTACTCTATAAATTTCGGGTAGGCCTGGTGATTGGAAAGCAGCTTGCATTCAGCTTTTACTCTTGGGGAGGAGGGGCGGGGAGTAAAGCGGTTTAGTGTTCCGCGGAGAAGAGTCCTGAAATGACTTCCTCAGAAATTCTACCTTGCAGCCGCCCACCATGAGAAACTTCTTTTGTGGAGAGGGATGGGGGTGGGAATGGAAGTGAAGAAGATAGAACAAAACTTAGGAGCATTTGGGATTGGGGGTTGCTGGTGAGGAGAGGATGTTTTTGCCTCCTCCTCCGCTCTGGCCCTCAGACCTCTGAGGAGATCCGACCACCCTCTTGAATTCATGTTTACCAGACCCTTTATCCTAAGAAAAATAAGGGAAGTCTATCGCTTTGCTCCATTGAGCAGGGCTACGTTTTCCCACTGCGCCCCTGGAGCTTACTGGGTGGAGACAGGCCTAGGCAAAGACATCTGAGGATGGGGGGAGCTGGCAGAGGGCAGGGGAAGGTGGTCCCCTACCGTGCCTCACCGCACCGGTCACTGAGCCCCAATAAACCCTCCAGGTTGTGGGCTCCAGCCCCTTACGGCCCCCCTCCCTCGCACTGCCGGCTTTCGCCTCCTGCAGCTCTCGCCTCCCCAACAGCTCCTCCCCGCAAACTCTCCTCCCTCTTCTCCCCTCTCCGGGCTTTCTCGCTCCAGCTCCTCCCTTCCTCCGCGCCTTCTCTCTCCCCTCCCCCTCCGCCTGCTCCCTGCCCCCGCCGCCGCCGATCTCCATCTCCGCAGTCTGGGCCGCTGGGTGCAGAGGCTGCCACAGCGTCGGCGGCCATCACCGCTTCCCCAATCCTGATACCCATTGTTTCCCACCCTATCCGGTTCTCTGCTTCCCCAACAACCATGGCACACGAAGCCGGGAGGAGCTCTCGTCTCGGGGGGCCCTGCGGGGAGCCTGCGGAGCTCGGAGGTGCGGTAGGGCCAGGCTTTGGCAGGGGCGGGGGCGAAAGGGACCCGCGGTTGATAAGGACTTTAAGGGGGCGGGATGAGATGCATGATTCTGTGCCTAGGCCCCGTCCCCACTCTCCGGGAACGGAAAAGCCGGGGGGGCGGTGTGCCAGAGGACTGGAGTGGAATGCGTTTCCCCGGACCCCCACCCCGTGGCCCTTTGCTGGGGTGTCTAGGAACCTCGCTGGTCAGGCAGGTCTGAGCGCCAGCCTGCACGACCTGAGGGGCTCATATCCCCACCCCCAACTAGCGGTTACTGGGCTCCTTGTTAATTAGATCTTCCGTGTACCCAACCCAACCGCGCCACCCACGCTCTCTCCTTATCTTCTCCCCAGGTGATGCTAACGAGGAAGACCACCCCCAAGTCTGTGCCAAGTGCTGCGCACAATTCACTGACCCAGCTGAATTCCTCGCTCACCAGAACGCATGTTCTACTGACCCTCCTGTAATGGTGATAATTGGGGGCCAGGAGAACCCCAACAACTCTTCCGCCTCCTCTGAACCCCGGCAGGAGGGCCACAATAGTCCCCAGGTTATGGACACAGAGCACAGCAACCCCCCAGATTCCATGTCCTCCGGGCCCACTGATCCCACCTGGGGCCCAGATCGGAGAGGAGCGGAGCCTTCAGGGCATTTCCTGGTCGCTGCCACAGGTACAGCGGCTGGGGGAGGTGGGGGCCTGATCTTGGCCAGTCCCAAGCTGGGAGCAACTCCATTACCTCCAGAATCCACCCCTGCACCCCCTCCTCCCCCTCCTCCTCTCCCTCCAAGTGTAGGCAGCGGCCACTTGAACATTCCTCTTATCTTGGAAGAGCTGCGGGTGCTGCAGCAGCGGCAGCTCCATCAGATGCAGATGACTGAGCAAATCTGCCGGCAGGTGCTGCTGCTTGGCTCCTTAGGCCAGACGGTGGGTTCCCCTGCCAGTCCCTCAGAGCTTCCTGGGACAGGAGCGGCCTCCTCCACCAAGCCCCTACTACCCCTCTTCAGCCCCATCAAGCCTGTGCAAACTGGCAAGACACTGGCACCTTCCTCCTCCTCCTCCTCTTCCTCCTCCTCCTCCTCTTCCTCTTCTGGGGCAGAAACACCCAAACAGGCTTTCTTCCACCTTTACCACCCACTGGGGTCTCAGCATTCCTTCTCTGCTGGAGGGGTTGGGCGAAGCCACAAACCCACCCCTGCCCCTTCCCCAGCTCTGACAGGCAGCACAGATCAGCTGATTGCCTCACCTCATCTGGCGTTCCCAGGCACCACAGGACTGTTGGCAGCACAGTGTCTTGGGGCAGCAAGGGGCCTTGAAGCCACTGCTTCCCCAGGTCTCCTGAAGCCAAAGAATGGAAGTGGTGAGCTGGGTTATGGGGAAGTGATGGGTCCCTTGGAGAAGCCTGGTGGAAGGCACAAATGCCGTTTCTGTGCCAAAGTATTTGGCAGTGACAGCGCCCTACAGATCCATCTTCGTTCCCACACCGGTGAGAGGCCCTATAAGTGCAATGTCTGTGGCAACCGTTTTACCACCCGTGGAAATCTCAAAGTGCATTTCCACCGCCATCGGGAGAAGTACCCTCACGTGCAAATGAACCCACATCCAGTGCCAGAACACCTAGACTATGTCATCACTAGCAGTGGCCTGCCCTATGGTATGTCTGTGCCACCAGAGAAAGCTGAGGAGGAGGCAGCCATGCCAGGTGGAGGTGTTGAACGAAAGCCTCTGGTGGCCTCCACCACAGCACTCAGCGCCACAGAGAGCCTGACACTGCTCTCCACTGGTGCAGGAACAGCTGCAGCTCCTGGGCTCCCTGCTTTCAATAAGTTCGTGCTCATGAAAGCAGTGGAGCCCAAGAGTAAAGCTGATGAAAACACTCCCCCAGGGAGTGAGGGCTCAGCCATCAGTGGGGTGACAGAAGGTGGCACAGCAACCCGCATGCAACTAAGTAAGCTGGTGACTTCGCTACCAAGCTGGGCACTACTTACCAACCACTTCAAGTCCACTGGCAGCTTCCCCTTCCCTTATGTGCTAGAGCCCTTGGGAGCCTCACCCTCTGAGACATCAAAGCTGCAGCAGCTAGTAGAAAAGATTGACCGACAAGGAGCCATGGCAGTGGCTTCTACCGCCTCAGGAGCCTCCACCACTTCTGCCCCTGCACCTTCATCTTCAACCTCTTCTGGACCTAACCAGTGTGTCATCTGTCTCCGGGTACTGAGCTGCCCTAGGGCCTTACGCCTGCATTATGGCCAACATGGAGGTGAGCGGCCTTTCAAATGCAAAGTGTGTGGCCGAGCCTTCTCCACCCGAGGCAATCTTCGCGCACATTTTGTGGGCCACAAGGCCAGTCCAGCTGCCCGGGCCCAGAACTCCTGCCCCATCTGCCAGAAGAAGTTCACTAACGCTGTCACTCTGCAGCAGCACGTTCGGATGCACCTGGGGGGCCAGATCCCTAACGGTGGCACCGCACTTCCTGAGGGTGGAGGAGCTGCTCAGGAGAATGGCTCTGAGCAATCTACCATCTCTGGGGCAGGCAGCTTCTCCCAGCCCCAGTCCCAGCAGCCATCACCAGAAGAGGAATTATCTGAGGAAGAGGATGAGGACGAGGAAGAAGAGGAAGATGTGACTGATGAAGATTCCCTAGCAGGAAGAGGTTCAGAGAGTGGAGGTGAGAAGGCAATATCAGTGCGAGGTGACTCGGAAGAGGCATCTGGGGCAGAGGAAGAAGTGGGGACAGTGGTAGCAGCAGCCACTGAAAAGGAGATGGTTAGCAATGAGAAAGCGACTCCACAGTGTTCTCTGCCACCACCTCCTGACAGCCTGGATCCACCTGAGCCAATGGAGCAGGGAAGCAGTGATGTTTCAGGAGGAGTGGAAGAGGGGGCCAAACCTGAGACGAGCTCAAGCCCAGCGACAGCACTCACCCAAGAAGAAGGAGGCACCAGCATCCCCTTGGTGGAGGAGCTGAGTTTGCAGGAAGCCATGAGAAAGGAGCCAGGGGAGAGCAGCAGCAGAAAGGCCTGTGAAGTGTGTGGCCAGCTCTTTTCCACCCAGACAGCTCTGGAGGAGCATCAGAAGACCCACCCCAAGGAGGGGCTACTCTTCACTTGTGTTTTCTGCAGGCAGGGCTTCCTTGAGCGGGCTGCCCTCAAGAAGCATATGCTGCTGGCTCACCACCAGGTACCACCCTTTGCCCCTCATGGTCCTCAGAGTATTGCTGCTCTGTCATTGGTCCCTGGCTGTTCAACTTCCATCACTCCCCCGGGGCTCGCCCCCTTCCCTCGGAAAGATGATCCCACAATCCCCTGAGCCAGTTTTCTGTACTTGATACCCTTTGACCCAGGGAGCAGAAACCAGGAGCTCCATAGAAGAACTTCAAGGATTTTTGCGCCCTTATTTTGTCTTTTTCTCTGCGTTCTTACTTAATATGTCTCTAGTGGCTTTTCTCTAGTCTCTGAGCTTAGAAATTGTTGTGCTTATTAACGGTATATCCCCCTAAGGAATTCCTGTCCCCTCTTCATTCTTTGTAACTGAGGAAAATAGCTTCTCCACAGCTTTCACATTCTCAAGGGGAATCCTCTGCTCTTCCTCTTCTTTTCCCTTTGGCAGGTGCACCTGAGCACCCATCTTTGGAAATGCAGCCTGGCCCAAAGAGGCTGGCTGCTGTTGAGGGCCCAGTGCCACTCCTGGCTGGTGACCAGGTCACACCCTGCAGGGCATCTTGTCCCAGGACCTTCCTGCCCAACTGGTGGCAGTGGTTTCCCTACCTTTCTGCAACCAGTACATAGCTTTCCTGTCATTTGGTTTGCCCACCAAGTCCTGGACCTCAGCTCCACCTCCACTACCACTTCAGGCCTGGCACCACCTCTGCTGTTTGGTGCAGGAACTGTGCCTGGATGGTGGATCCACAGAGGCCAAGGGGTCGATAGCTTCCTTCCCATCCCCCTTATTTCAGTCTCCTGCATCCACGGCAGTACTTAAGAATCCCATCATAAAAAAGTAAAACTGTACCTTCCTTCTCCTTCCCCAGAAGGCGCTGACAATGAAGATGTAGTAAATGGTGGTTCAACCCCAGGAGATAGGGAGAAACAAATGGCTTGGGACACTTCACAATAAATCTTTTGATTTGTCACATTAAGGCAAAGGTGTTGGCTGGTCAATGTGCAAGGATATGTCCAGCTTTTCATTTATTGTGGCTGCTCAGAGTTGGGAAGCAAGCAGATTTCTTGCCAAGAAGTCTCCCTTGGCATGTTTTGGGAAAGATGAAGTTCATATCTTTAAGGAGCATTTTTGGTGAGGGTGGTTGATGAAGTAAAGATGGAGAAAGAGTTGAGTTGAGGCATGTTCCTAAAGCATAGGGCTTCAGGGAAGCCTATGCTTCCTTTCTATGTGTTCCTTTCTATGTGATTAAGAAAGGAACATGCTATAAGGGAGGGGCCCCCCGAGTTGTGAATAGGAACATTCTCACGCATGCTCCTTTGGGCTAATACTGACATAGTGTGCAGCAGTGCCCCAGGGATCATGGGGGATTTTCCTAGCACTAGTGTGCTTCTAGTTTTAGCTAACTCCTTCCTTTATCCCCTGACCCCATGTATTTTCCTTCTCTTCCTCTCCCCAATTTTGTCTGATCATGGACCAGGGCTTATGTCTTTGCCAGTGTTTGGTTTTAAGACTCCAAGACTCTGGGAGACAAGCTCCAGGTGGTTCCTTCCTGCCTCTCTGTCTTGTAATCATATGTAGTGTTTACTCTTAACATAGGATCATTTGGAACAGGAGTTCTGAGGAGGAGAGAGAGGGTTTTGCTGTTGACTGACTTGAAAGATGGCTTCTCCTCCAAAGTAGTGGGTTCCAGAGCTTCCTAACATAGCGATATGTCAAGAGCAGAGAGGGGAAATGCTACTCTTTCCCTTCCTCATCATTAAAGGTGTTTGGCCAAATATTTGTGTGTGTCTCCTTATTTTATGACAAAATAGCCAGCTGGGGTGTGATATGGGCAGATTTCCTTCCTACCTACATCTCCTGCCAAAACTGAACATATGGTATTGAAATATTTAATTTATTCAGCCTTGTCTTAAAACAGCCTCCAGTGAAGGAGGTGGGTCAGGAATCCTTCCATTCCTTTAACCTCTCCCACTCCCATTGGACACAAATAATGCCATTTAGCCAATTAAACCAGACTTGGCTTTAGGTGCTAGTTTCCATTATAGTAGCAGCTATCAGTGAGGTTCTACTGACCCCTCCTGGGGCAGGTCAGCGCTACTGAGCCTGTCTCCCGCCCCTCTTTACAATCTTTAGCAGTTAATTCACCTTTTTTTCAGCCTCCTCATTCTTTTATATTTTTTTGCAGTACTGGGGTTTGAACTCAAGGTTTACACATTGAGCCACTCTGCCAGCCCTTTTTTTTGAGATAGGGTTTCACAAACTATTTGCCCTCCTGATCTCTGCCTCCTGAGTACCTAGGATTACAGGGGTTCACCACTGGTGCCTGGCTAGGCCTCTTCATTCTTTTTTCTCTCTTCCTCTCTCATTCCCTTTCTTATTCTTTCTCTTCACCTCTTTATTTTTCATTGTGCCTTTAATTTCTTCTTGCAGTGGACCCTATCCCTACCATTAGCCCCACTATTAGCCCACCATTTCTCACTATCAATCACTGTTCACTGGATTATCTTTTTGGAAGTTGAATTAACTCTAACCTACTGGAATGTGTATGGAAATAAATGCAGCTTGGGGTTGGGGTATGGCTCAAATGCCTGCCCAGGAAGAAGAAGACCCTGAGTTCAAACCCCAGTACCATAAGAAATTAGTCAAAAAAGCCAGTTTGTGAAACATTTACATGAAGCAAGAGACAGCTTTTTTTCTCATTCAGTTAATTTTTTGAGGATTCACTATTTCATAAGCCAAGTGTTCCTTAGACACAAAGGAATATAAGACACGCGGCACTTAGGTGAGCTCAGTCTAGGAGGGAGAGTGCAAACAAATACTATTTTATGGTGGTAATAAGGACTATGACAGGAACAATATCCTGTGGGATCCCAAAGAGGGCAATAACTAACTCATAATCCAAAATTGGAGACAAGAGGGGGCATACAATTGTCTTTCCTAATAACCACTCTCAAATATAGTAACTGACATAATCCACATGGCAATCAAGGGACCAATGCAATTACCATTTAAGAACATGTAAGATACATTAAGCCCCTTTATAAAATAGACCTGTGCTGCTTTTGAGTTGCCTGTTCAAGAAAGAACTGACTAGCTACAAGGAGACTGATTAACTGACAGCCTTTAGCTGTTCCAGTGTCTGGCCAAAAACTGATCCAAATGCTCAGCATTCCTATGGAGCACAGGACTCCAATGGGCAGTTTGCTCCAGAACTCCCCATTGGGCTGGCAGAGATTGTCAGGTCTGCATTGTTCTCTTCCCATACCTTTTATAGAGGTTACTGTCCAGTAGAACTTCTAGACCCCTAACTGTCTCAGCATTTGCTTCTCAGAGAATTCAACCTCTGAAAAAGGCCGAGATTCTGTTGGCATGTTTTGTTCCTCACAAGCTCCTGTGCCTGGGACTCTGCTTACCATCCTTAGAACTTAGCCAATCAATGAATATTGTCTACTAATCCCCAAAACAGATTTCACTAGTCTTATTCTCAGAACTGTGATTTTATATAGTGTGTTTTCAAGCATTTAATAACAGTAGATTGATTAAGCCTACTGGACATTTTTCTTTTTGTCATGTGGTAAAAAGCCAAGTATGACCAAGACTTAAAGGGGAAAAAAATTCTGCCAGAGAACCAAGTAAGCTGTACATTGTTTGGTCAGTACTGTGACTATTTCAGCAATTCACTGCCATATAACAAACCATTCACAAAACTTGGTGTCTTAAATAATAATTATATATTTGTTTATAGTCCACGGATTGCCTAGGTAGGCTTTGGTAGGATGACTTAACCTATGTTCCTCGTGGTAAGGACTAGGATTACTAGAATTACAGCTTCAATATGAGACTGGAGAATCCATGGCCTAACTCACTCTGGCCCCTTGAATAGATGGATGGACGGGAACACTAAACTTTATCCTTATAGTCTTCCATCTGCTATGGTCTCTTCTCGTTATAAGTGGTCTATCAGGGCAACTGAACTACCACAAAGGCCCTGGATCCAAGAGGGCAAAAACAAGCTGAAAAGGTTCTTAGGGCCTAGGTTCTGGAGCTGAAGAAATACCACTTCTGCAACATTTGTTAGCCAAATCTAATCAGAAGGTCAATTCAGATTCAAGAGGAGGGTAAGTTTGATGGGAAAAGAAGCAAAATCCTATTACATAAGGGCATAGGGGGACACACTAGGCATTGTTGCAAATGATGAGCCTATCTATCACAGCAGATAGGAGGACAGGTTAAGTGTAATGCATGTGGCACTCATCTCACAATTAGGCTTTCACTCTGTTTTGACTATAAATCTGTTTCCTCCTCTCTGCATTCAGGGTGCTATGCAGACTAGCAAAGAGTGGGCAGACAAGAAATCAGTGGCTTTCTTTTTTTTTTAAATATTTTTCTATTTTTTATTTTTGCAGTACTAGGGCTTGAACTCAGGGCCTCACGCTTGCTAGGCAGGCACTCTACCACTTGAGCCACTCCACAGTCCTTGCAATGGCTTTCTTTTGAAAAGCAAACTGATCATAGGAGTGTAGAAAGAATAATTCTCTAAGAAGATCATGCTAAGTGACCCTCCTGTGCCTCTAATATTTGCCTGATTTACTACTGTAATAATTTTCCTAAAAAAAAAAAATCTGAAATCAAAGACTTTTGGGAGCTTCTTTGACTTGGTTGACTTTTCAACAGTACTTATTGCAACTTCTTGTCCTTTGTATCTAAGGGGCAGCAATCCAGACGTTAAGTACCCAAGTTCCGTGAGACTGAGTATCTTCTACTGAAAACCCTTCCTTTCCTAGACACAATACTTGTGTTTAAAGGATGAACTTTGAAGTACTGTCTTTAAGCTGGCATGATGGTGCATGCCTATAATTTCAGCATGTGGGAGACTGAGGTAGGAGCATCTTGGGTTTAAGGCCAGTCTGGTCTACATGGGCAAGTTCAAGTTCAAGTCCAGTTTGGGCTACATACTGAGACCATCTCAAAAAAAAAAAAGCAAGAACTGTTGTCTTTAAGAGGAAATCAACTGCTTTCATTTTCTGCAAGGCTATATCCTATACTCTGGTTCTCTATATTTAATCTTACTAGCATATTATTATTATTTTTTACTTTTTATTTTTAATTATTTATTTTGGTGGTGCTCGGGTTTGAACTCTGGACCTCATGTTTGATTGGCTGGCATTCTGTTTGAGCCAGTCCACCTGCCTAATCTTACTAGTATATAATTTCTGTATATTTCATGTCTATGTATTAAGTACCTTGAAAGAAGAGTGATCTTGGGATTACATTCGTGACACAATGAGTTCAATCCCCAGCATCACACACACAAAAAATTGACTTTATAAAGTGAGGAACCCAGATTTGTAAGATGGACAATGGTGGCTCAGGCCTGTAATACTAGCTACTCAGGAGGCAGAGATCAGGAGGACTATAGTTCTAAGCCAGCCAGGGCAAATAACTCATGAGACCCTATCTCAAAAAAACCAATCACAAAAAAAAGGGATGGTGGAGTGGCTCAAGGTGTAAACTCCAAGGTCAAATTCTGGTACTACAAAAAACAAACAAACAAACAAACCCAGATTTGTGAATAATTAACTATTAGCAATACTATAATACAGCAACCATGGGATTATCTCACTTCAGTAATGGGTATGTCTAAATATAAGGTCACAGGCTATACTCCAAATGAAAGGACAAAATAAAAAAAGATTCCTTATCCACTTTCTTAGGGCAATTGTTAATCCAGGTATCAAAGGAAGCCAAAACCCTTAGAGCAGTCTGCTTGAGTAACTGTCCATTTCTTCACATTAGCCAACTCTCCCAGCAGTATTTCAAATGAAGAAAATAGTATTTTGCTTTCAGTTTAGTATAATCCTGATGTTCAAAGCTCCTATGAGTTCATATTCACTTCTGTGTTCTCTTCTGCAATGCTCACATGTAAAGTTACATATCTCAAAAAGGAGTATAGATTGTCACTCTAGAGATGAACTACTTCCAGTTTATTCAAAGTATATCATTTTACTACACTGTCACTACAAAAAAAAAAGAGAGACAGCATAAATTTTCTATTAAGTAAACTAAGGAAATGAAGTGGGCACCAAGTGGCTCATGCCTATAATCCTAGCTACTCTGGAGGGCAGAGATCAGGAAGATTGAGTTCAAAGCCAGATGGGACAAATAGTTCAAAGGCCCTATCTCAAAAATACCCAACACAGAAAAGGGTTTGTGGAGTGGCTCAAACAGTAGAGCGAATCATGAGGCCCTGAGTTCAAACCCCAGTGAAGCCAAAAAAAGAAAATGAGATGAAAATATTTTTTATAACTACAAGTATACACAGTACCTAGCACATAGTGGTCACTCAATAAATGCTTGCTCAATAAATGGTTGAAACTCATATTCCAATACACTTGTATTTTACTTCTAAATAGCTCCCCTTCCTCTTTTCCTGGGCACTGGTGACTCAAGCTTGTAATCCTAGCTACTCAGGAGGCAGAGATCGGGAAGATCAAGGTCTGAAGCCAGCCTCTGGCAAATAGTTTGAGAGACCTTATCTTGAAAAAGCCCATTGCAAATAAGGGTGGTGGAGTGACTCAAGAGTGCCTGCTTAGAAAGCTAGGCAGTACCACCAAAAAAAAAAAGCATCCCCCCACTCATTCATTTTCATGTTTTCCCTTCCATTACTATCTATAACCTGCTTTTAAAGATTTTATCATCAGTTACAACAGATTACTAACCATTTTCTTTCCTCAAACTCCCTCCAATATACTTCACTTCATCTAGAATACCAGAACAATCTTAAAGCATTCTTTTCACAAACCCTAAGTGTTCCCTATTGTATTTTGAATAAATTCAGGATTTTTGTATTTTATTCTGAATAAATTTTCTCAGGTAACATGCACAATCTGTAATCTGGTCTCAAACCTGCAAATGTAAATTTTTCTGTCAATATTCCCCAACACAAATCTGTATGTCCTACCTAATTTGGATTGGCAGAACACATGTCATGCTTTTCTAACACTACACCTTTGTTTTATCTTGTCATTGGTCAAGAATTCTCTCCTATAGCTTCACCTACTGAAATCCTAGTTGTCGCTTCAAACCTGGAGCTTTATGGCAGCTTCTTTCCCATCCCTTGGGTCATTCGGGATTAGAGTCCCTCTTCTTTGCACACTGATTTTTTAGAGCCTATGCTCATCCTGCTTTATGCTGTTAAGACAAATCAGTATTAAACCAGGCATTGTGGTTTGTGCCTGTAATCCCAGAACTCAGGAGACTGAGGCAGAATTGGGAGTTAAGAGGCTAGTGTGGGTTATATAGAAACACCCTTGTCTATAAAAAACAATCAAACAAACAAACAAAACCCAAACTGGATCTTGGTCCATTACCAGACCAAAAACTCTTTGAAAACAGGAGCAACTGTCAAACTATTATTTACTGAGAGTGTTTACTATCATGTAGTCACTCATCAGTGGTTTCCAAATGTTTACATTCAAATGACCCCATTAAAATACACATAAACCCTTTTGCATTTATTACAAATAGAGAAGTGCACATATCAAAATGTTGTTTGATTTTCACAAACAGAACACTCGCGCAACAAGCTCCCATAAATACAACGCACCCAGAACCTCAGACCTTAATGCCCCCAATGAGTACCCTATCTTAATCAGTTACATGTCATAATTCTTTTATGTATTTGTAGACCCACCCCCTTATTATTTTTATTGTTGTAGGATTGAGGTTTGAATTCATTGCTTCACACTTGCAAAGCAGGCGCTTTTTACCACTTGAGCCTCACCTCCAATCCATTTTGCTGTGGTTATTTTTGGAGATGGGGGAAAGAAGTCGCTAAAACTATTTGCTCGGGCTAGCCTCGAACCGCGATCTTCCCGATCTCAGTCTCCCAAGCGGCTAGGGTTACAGCCGTGAGTCACCCGGCGCTGGGCTTGTGGACAGCCCCTCCATCAGCCCTCTTCCCCCACCCAGCCCATCACATGCCTGCTCCCTCACAGGAGACCACTGCAATAGTGTTTTGTTTGTTCATGGGGTGGGGGGCTGTGAGTGAATGCACAGAAACATAAACCTAACACGTGGTTTGGAGAAAGTATGTTGGTGCTAAATGGTCAAAAAGGAACTAGTGCGGGGTGTGGTGGGACGCTCCTGTAATCCCAGCATTCAGAGGTTGAGGCAGGATTGAGAGTTCCAAGTCAGCCTAAATTACAAAGTGAAGCCCTATCTCAAAAAACAAAGAGGTGGGGGCGGGGTGGCTAATGATTCTTCATTTTAAATAGCTGGTGTTTGGAGTGTAGTTCAGAGGTAGAGGGCTTGCCTAGCATAACAAGTCTCCGGGTTCCATCCCAGCACCAACATCAATGAATCAACAAACAAATCGGAACCGCTCGTGCAGGTGTGCCAAAGTTACCATAACATAGTTGCACACTCCGGACTCCTCGAATCTTCAACATGGCCGCATGCACGTCTACAAGCAACACGGCCACTCTTCCAGGACCTAATATGGCAACCGCAGCCTCGCTGCTCCCGAAAACAGGCGAGCGCTGCCAGAAGGAACAGACCCACTATTCCGCCAACACCCAACGTGACTATCGTCACAACTTCCCGGCGCGCGCGAAGCAGGAAGTGACGTAACGCTCCGACTGCTTTCCGGCCAGGCTTCCGGCGGCCGCGTGAGGTTTGGATGTGTCTTGCGACCAGGGCTAGGAGGTATTGGGCCGCCGCGCCTGAGCGGAGGGCGTAGGGGCTGCGAGACTGAGATGTCCGACACGTGGAGCTCTATCCAGGCCCACAAGAAGCAGCTGGACTCGTTGCGGGAGAGGCTGCAGCGGAGGCGGAAGCAGGACTCGGGGCACTTGGGTGAGGCCCGGGGCGGTCGGGCCAAGGCTCGGCCGGGGAGGGAGGGAACGGTCCCTGGTGAGAAAGGCAGCTCCGAGTCGGCGCCATCCCCAAGCCTCGCACCTTAGCGCAGACCTTCGCCTTCCCGCACGTCCTCCCGGCGCCGGAACCCCTCGGTCCACATGACCCCACCCTGCACCCTGTGGGAACGCCACCTCGGAGGCCCACGCCACATCCCGCGAGGCTGCAGGGCTCCTTTTCTTGCCGCCGTGGCGCTTTGCTTCGCTCACTTGTCGTGACTGCTTTGTGGCGGTCACTTTCTTAGGACTCTAGTCCCAGGGAGCAAGCATTGACCTCTGTGCACAGTGCTCAGTTGAATGTCCCGCACAGTTGTGGGTGAGTAGAAAACTGGTATTTGCATACATGACAGGAATCTGAAGACGTTTTGTCTTTGGTCTTTAAACATTACACCGACACAAACTAAATTACTTAAGGCAAATCAGAACGAAGCTCTTCAAGGACAGTGACTCCATACCACCCTTGTATAACCTGTTTCAGTGTTTTATTAGCTTTCCCCATCTGCAAATCTTGCCTTGATCATATTAGGTTTATGTGCTCATATTCAGGTGCCTGGAACTAGAAGATGGCGCTGGCGGGTTTCTTACCATAATAAATAAGCATTTATTGCGTATCTACAGTGTTCATAAGTCTATATAGACAAAAAAATTTAAGTAAGACATTGTACCTACCCCTAAGGAGTTTAAAATTTACTTGGGAATCAAGGTTAGATGCTAGTAAAAAGTCAGAAACACATTGTCTGAGTAAATGAATTCCATGATCATTCACAGTGAAGAAAGTAGCAAGAACTGGCATACCCTTTGAAGCCATCATTTTTGGTCTTGATGGCCATATAGGGCAAATAATTTAGAATATACCACCAGCGAATAGTTAACAGTCAAGAGCTGGAGTAATTAACTGAATGACATAAGAGGGAGACTATTTTCTTGCTATATAAATTTCAAGTACTCTGACTTAAATCCAGGTTTCTCTCTGTTTTTCCTGTTCACTGATTTCCCATGTTTCTTTTATGCAGATCAATTTTAGGTAGACAACATAGGTAATTACACGTCTTACAGGGAAATAATTGTTTTTAATTAACTTACCACAAACTCCAGTTCCTGGACTTAAGTATATCTTACTAATTTTTTAAGAACAACATTTAAAGCTGGTGGAGTAGTTCAAGATGTAGGTCCTGAGTTCAAGCCCGAGTACCACAAACAAAACAAAAACAGCATTCAAGAAGGATCTGATTAGAGGTATTTTTGCTATATTCCTGTCTGTGTTCCTGAAAAAAAAATTTTTTGGGTACATTGCGGCATTTACAAAAGTTCTTACAATATATCAAATTTATCATACTTAAATTCACCCTCCTGAAAGATTTTTTTTGGTCGCACTTGGGTTTGCACTCAGGACCTCACCCTTGCTAGGCAGGTGCTCTACCTCTGGAGCACTCCACCAAAGGAGGGCTCCTTTGCTTATTTTTCAGGTAGGGTCCCAAGTGTTGCCCAGGCTGGGCATAGACATCAATCCACCTGATCTGCACCTCCTAACCATATGGGATTACGGGTATGAGCCACTATGCCCAGCCTCATCCAAGTCTTTTTGACAAGTCTGTATTCTCCCTTGAATGTAAATACTCTTTGAGATGTAAATATCTACTGATTTCTACATCCAGTTAATAATGTGGTAATGACTCCTACAAAAGTAGTTTGGAGGTTTTGACTAAACATACTATCTTCTGACCCAAAACTTTGTCTGACACATTTATTTGGTCCTGTGGGAATACTTGGAGACAAAACAAATTAAAACAAATGTTGTTTTAATTATCACAAAGAACATTTCTTTGAGCTTTAGGATTCTTAGGAATCCTAAAAATCACTACTAAAGTGATATACACCTTATTAGTTTATTTATTTATTTATTTTTGGCAGTACTGGGGTTTCACACTACTAGGCAGGCTCTCTACCACTTGAGCCACTCTGCCAGCCCTGTTCTGTGTTGGATAATTTCGAGATAGGGTCTCACAAACTATTTGTCCAGGGCTGATTTTGAACTGAAATCCTCCTGATCTCTGCTTCCTGAGTAGCTAGGATTACAGGAGTGAGCCATTGGCACCTAACTCCACCAGCCCTTTTTTGTATTGGGTATTTTTTAAATAGGGTCTTGCGAATGGTTTGCTTGGGCACTTTATTAGTTTATTAATGAGGTCATATGAGAAGCTTGATAAAAGTTCAGATTATTTAGTTTTTAGAAAATAATAAATTTCCTAATATACCTTAATTTTTGTAGCATTACTGAAATCTGATAATTATTGCGCTCTAAAATAAGACAGGGATTTTGGTGGTTATAGTGGTATACCTCCATAATCCTAGCTCTGGAGGCTAAGGTGAGAGGATCTGGAGTTAAAGAGATCAGCCTGGGTTACATAATGAGACCTTGTCTGAAAAAAGAGAACAAAGAAAATTGGATTTTATAAAATGTATCCTTATCTTTGTTTCTGGTTATACTGGGTTTTGAGGCCTTATGCTTGCTCAGCTAGAGCTCTACCACTTGAGCCACGCCCCAGCCCTTCCTTTTTAAGGTAGAATAATACTCCATTCTATGTGTATTCCATATTTTTATTTTTAATTTATTTTTGGCAGTACAAGAATTTGAACTTGATCTTGCACTTGCTGGGCAAGTGCTCTACCACTTGAGTCATGCCCCTAAACCCTTTTTCCTTTAGTTATTTTTTGAATTGGGTCTTGAGTCTTTTCTTTGACTGGCCAATACTGCAATTCTCCTATTTATGCTTCCTTCTTCCCTTGTAGCTGTAGTGCAAAGTGCATGCAACCATTCCCTGGTTAAGAACTTCAGTCCTCTCAATCTCCACCCCCCAAATGGCTGGGATTACAGATGTGAGCCACCATGCCCAGTATGGTTTATTTTTTAAATATATTTTGCAGTACTAGGGCTTGAACTCAGGCCTACACCTTGAGCCACTCCACCAGCTCTTTTTGTGTTAGTTATTTTCGAGATAGGGTCTCGTGAACTATTTGCCATGGCAAATAGTGCAAACCTCAATCCTGATCTCTGCTTCCTGAGTAGCTAGGATTAAAGGCATGAGCCACTGGCGCATGGTTTATGTTTTTATTTTTTATCTCTACATGAAAAACAAATTGCACAGATTATATTAATGAAGTATCATATGTTTGGTGATGTATACATTGCATAATGTTTAAATCAAGTTAAAAATATCTGAGTGTGGTGGTACATGCTTGTAATCTTAGCACTGGGGAGGTTGAAGTAGGAGAATGATTAGTTCAAGGTCAGCCCAGACTACATATTCAGACCCTCTCTCAAAATTTTTTTTCCTTTTTTTTGTGGTAACTGAGGTTTGAGCTCAGGGTCTTCTTGGTGAAGGGTTTTCTCCAAAATAGGGTCTTGCAAACTGTTTGCCTGGGCTGGCTTCAAACCATGATTCTCCTGATCTCTGCCTCCTGAGTGGCTAGGATTACAGGCATGAGCCACCAGCAGCGTCCAGCTTCTTAAAAATACATAGGAAATGTTGACCAGGCCTTCAGCCACGTATTATAAGACTTTTGTGTTTGTGAATGTTAAAGATCACATTGTTCTGCACCCAATACTAGCAGTGGCCTTGATTCATTAGAATTCCAGCTTCATGACTGAGAAAAATAATCTCAGGTTGGATTGTTGAGAGTATTTTTGGTTTTTATTAAAATAGGCTTCATAGTTCAGATTTGAGAGGCCTGGGGATGTTGCTCAAGTGTTAAGAGTGTCTGCCTAGCTAGCACAAGGTCCTGAGTTCAAACTCCAATACTGCCAAAAACAAAACCAAAAAGATTTGAGAGAAGGGAGGTGGAAAGACTTGTAAAGCTATCATGCTTTTTACTTCTTTTGAAGTACAGAATAGGAAAAAAGCTGAGTGTGTTGTAATTCTAGCACTTGAATGGCTCAGTGAGTTTAAGGCAAGGCTGGGCTACTAGACCCTATTTCAAAAAACAATTAAAAATAAGAAAGAAAGAAAAGACTGATCAGTACCCAACAGAGAAATGGGCAGTTTCCGCAAAAATCCAGGCTTATTTGTAAAAACAGTGAATGCCTGAGTATGACTGAGATGTAATGCGATGTTTAAGTTGGTTAGTGAATTTCCTGAATAAAATGAAATGTGTGCTGGGAATGGAAGAGTATTGATTCCTGAAGAAAGTATAGGCTGACAGTGTTTGCTAGGTTTTTGTTTTTGGTGGTACTGGGGTTTGAACTCAAAGCCTAGTGCTTGTTAGGTAAGTGCTCTAGCACTTGAGCCACGCCTCCAGCCTTGTTTGCCATTTTTCATTTTTACTTTCATTTTTACTCTTAGATCTACGGAATCCAGAGGCAGCACTGTCCCCAACCTTCCGTAGTGATAGTCCAGTGCCTACTGCACCCACCTCTGGTGGCCCTAAGCCCAGCACAGCTTCATCTGTTCCTGAATTAGCTACAGACCCTGAGTTAGAGAAGAAGTTGCTACACCACCTTTCAGATCTGGCCTTAACATTGCCCACTGATGCTGTATCCATCCGTCTTGCCATCTCTACGGTAATGACCTGGTAGAATTGGGATCTACCATTTATTTTCTGTTCATGACCAGTGTCTTATCGCCCTTTTCTCCCTCCCTTCTCTAGCCAGATGCTCCTGCTACTCAGGATGGGGTGGAAAGCCTCCTACAGAAGTTTGCAGCTCAGGAGTTGATTGAAGTAAAGCGAGGTCTCCTACAAGATGATGCACATCCCACACTTGTGACCTATGCTGATCATTCCAAGCTCTCTGCCATGATGGGTGCTGTGGCAGAAAAGAAAGGCCCTGGAGAGGTAGCAGGGACTATCACAGGGCAGAAGCGGCGTGCAGAACAGGACTTAACTACAGTAGCTGCCTTTGCCAGCTCTTTAGCCTCTGGTCTGGCCTCTGTAGCATCAGAACCAACTAAGGAGCCAGCCAAGAAATCAAGGAGACATGCTGCTTCAGATGTTGATCTGGAAATAGAAAGCCTTTTGAACCAGCAGTCTACAAAGGAACAACAGAGCAAGAAGGTAGGGGTCATGTGGAAGTGCTCACTGCTCACTGTATGCTCTGAATTATATCTTTGATTGAGAGGGATTTACCTTTAGGACAACTTCTTAGAATTGAGGATTTAGAGTCATGGTTCTCAACTGGAGGTGATTTTGTCCCATTTCCTCCCATCCCCAAAGACACCTGGCAATGTCTGTAGACATTTTTGTTGTCATAGCTTGGGAGAGTGCTATTGACCTCCAAACATGCTACAGTGTATTAGGACAGCCCCATACAGCAATATCCCAGAATGTCAGTAATGCCAGTGTGGAGAAATCCTGACTAGAGTATCTGCCATTGAATCTCTTTTGAAGAATACTCTGATCAAGAGAAGAACCCAAGTATATAAATATAGGAGAATAGAAAATAATGATAGTCATTTGGATCAACAGTTGTGGGAATTGATGATTAAACAATTGCAAATGATCAATATAGTAGTTCTGAGTGTAAGTATTAGACCAATATGGGTTGTCATCTGTTTGCTATTTGTGTGGGTTTCAAGAGGTTAATTGGGCTGGTGCCAGTGGCTCATGCCTGTAATCCTAGCTATTTAGGAGGCAGAGATTAGAAGATTCAAGGTTCGAAGCCAGCCCAGGCAAACAGTTTGCAAGATGCTAATCTTGGAAAAACCCATCACAAAAAAGGGCTGGTGTAGTAACTCAGGTGTAGGCCCTGAGTTCAAACCTCATTACCACCAAAAAGAAGGTTAATTAACTTCTCTTAAGCCTCAGTCCTCTCTGTAACATGAGAATAACTAGAGTATCCCTCTCTTACAGAACGGTTGAATACACTGTAAGCTACAAAGCAAAATATTAGCAAGCACTGTGCCTCGGCCTAGTACCCATTAAATACAAATGTCTTTTTTGGGAGTGGGACCTATGCTTTCCTGGGGAGGGAAGGTCAGCTTAATGCTCAGCTGTAAGAACCTGGCTTCTAGTATTTTAACTCCATCTTAAATGAAGATTTGTGAAGGACTGAACCCTTGACACATCCCTTATGATAGGGTTGCAGTGTTCTCATACTAAGTTAGCTCATTTATCTCTTACAAGACATTAATGTGAAATAGAGTTGGTGGAGGTGGCTTAAGAGCTGATGTGGTCTACAAACCCCTTTAAGACCAAGGCTGCTTCTATCACAGGTCAGTCAGGAGATCCTAGAGCTATTAAATACCACAACAGCCAAGGAACAGTCCATTGTTGAAAAGTTTCGCTCACGAGGTCGGGCCCAAGTGCAAGAATTTTGTGACTATGGGACCAAGGAAGAGTGCATGAAAGCCAGTGATGCTGATCGACCTTGTCGCAAGCTGCACTTCAGGTCTCTTGGAGGGAAGGTGGGATGGGTCTCCTAGAAACCGTCATTCCTTTCCAGCATATTCCTCCAGCATTGGGTCTCTGATTATGGTTTGTCTAGGTCTTAAGACTTTGAAGGTGTATTCACAGAAGTGGCATCATATGGGAAGGAATACAGGCTGCACTCCCAAATAATGGGTGATTTTCTTAAGTGTCCTTTTCTAGTAGGGTATGTCTGTTTCTGAGCTACAATGAAAATTGTCTGGAAGAAGTCAAAGGAGAAACGGGAACCTGGGCTCTTAGGCCAGTGTTGTATTCTGCTCTTACCAGCCAAGTCCTTTCTGGACTCTTATTCCTCCCTGTAGTAAGAAAAGGAAGCCAAGTCTTTGTTCAGAAAGGATTACAACTATTCTTTAGTTGAATTAGATTTCCTTGTTCCCTTTCATCAAACTCTTGGAGGAAGTGCTAATGATAGAGAAAATTAGGGGAGGGTAAAAAAAGACAGGAAATTTTGGAACTTGAACTGTGTGGGATCTACCTCTGAAGTACCATTTTGCTAAGTCCTCCTTTTTATTTCCCCAGGCGAATTATCAACAAACACACCGATGAGTCTTTAGGTGACTGTTCTTTCCTTAACACGTGTTTCCATATGGATACCTGCAAATATGTTCACTATGAAATTGATGCTTGCATGGATTCTGAGGGTCCTGGAAGCAAGGACCATACACCAAGCCAGGAGCTCGCTCTTACACAGAGTGTTGGGGGTGACTGCAGTGCAGATCGACTCTTCCCACCTCAGGTACCTGTCTGCTCAGGAAACTCATCTCAACTTATGAACTTATATCTGAGTAAGGCCAGCAGTACATTTAAGAAGGTAGGGCATAATTCAGCCGTCTTACCTTTGATTGGGAATGGAATGGGGTAGATACTTATGAGGTTATTAGGAAATCAAATGGAAAAGAGGGACTGGGGCCATGGCTGGAGAGTGAAGGAAGAAAAGATGACCAAATACCACCTCCTTATATAGTGGATCTGTTGTGATATCCGCTACCTGGACGTCAGTATCTTGGGCAAGTTTGCAGTTGTGATGGCTGACCCACCCTGGGATATTCACATGGAGCTGCCCTATGGGACCCTGACAGATGATGAGATGCGTAGGCTTAACATACCAGTACTGCAAGATGATGGCTTCCTCTTCCTCTGGGTCACAGGCAGGTAATGTAGTTCAAAGATCTGTAGGAATGGCAGCTATAGTACAGAGTACTGGCTGGATGCAAAATCCTGGATTTTCCTACCCGTGGTATTAAATGTGACTGATTTAGCTCCCCTACCTCAGCCTTAATGACTACAGGAGAAATACTTTTGTTTGTTTCTTGAGAAAAGTGAAGTCATCGAGAATAGATGATATGTTTTATCTTTTCATTCATAGATTCACCCATGCCCTAATTGTCTTGCATGTGAATGTTCACTGAACATATATTGAAAACCAATCCCCAATGTTTGTAACACATCAGGTGTTTTAAAGGGAGAAAAAAAAACACATGTATACAGGTAGTTGTTTAACTAACCCTTATGTTTTCCTAGGGCCATGGAATTGGGCAGAGAGTGTCTGAACCTCTGGGGGCAAGTACCAATTGTTGTTCTTTTGAGGGAAATGAATCCTTTCTGGTATAGTTCTAAGAGATACGTGTTCCTTCTCTCATAGTATTCCTGTTACCCTTGGCTCTGTAGGTGGTATTGTCTCCTAAACCGTGAAAGCCTGGTTAAAGCTCTAGTTCTCCTTCTTATGTTCCAGTTATGAACGAGTAGATGAAATTATCTGGGTGAAGACAAATCAACTGCAACGTATCATCCGGACGGGTCGTACAGGTCACTGGTTGAACCATGGGAAGGAACACTGCTTGGTGAGCAGCAATAGGGTTCAATACAGTAAGAAAAATTGCTTGGTATTTTTTATAGAAAAAAAGTTCAAAAGCAGTAGCTACATAAGGTAATCCCTGTTTTTTGTGGTGAGCAGGTTGGTGTCAAAGGAAATCCCCAAGGCTTCAACCAGGGTCTGGATTGTGATGTGATCGTAGCTGAGGTAATGTGCTTTTTGCTGAGACATCCAAGTTACACATTTTCATTGTTGTGATTGATGTCAAGTGTATTGTGATCCCAAGTTTTTCTCATTTGGATCATAACAGAAAGGGCTAGAATTGCAATGTTGAACAACTTTAGCAAAAAGTAGCTAGTCTTTATTTCCTAGGTTCGCTCCACCAGTCACAAACCAGATGAAATCTATGGCATGATTGAGAGACTATCCCCTGGTACTCGCAAGATTGAGTTATTTGGACGACCACACAATGTGCAACCCAACTGGTAAGAACAGGCTAGTCCCCAAGGACAAAACTTTACAGTCAAGGACAGAAGTTAGTATGAGCCTCATATGTCCTGCTAGTCTGTAAATGGGCCCCAGAGGACTCAAATGTCGTAAACTTGTGCTTAATCTGTTTTATGGGAATCTTATATTCACTGGAAATCCAACAGGTGGTTCTAGGACCCAAAGCTCTGTTCTCAAAGGTCTCTACTCCTACAGCCTCTAAGGATCTCCCTCAGCTGTTCCGGAAGATTGCCCCCTGGTGGTTACTAAGTATTTCATCTGTCAATTTTAGTGTCTTTGAACCCTATAAAAACACACCCTAGCATTATACTCACCCAGGCACATAACTTTGTGCAGTGGGCCTGGGCATTAACCTTCAGATAACACAAATTCAGTAGCTGTGCCAGTTCTCAACTACTGGTACTATCATATGCTATTCTAATGTTACGGTCTTCTATGTTTAGTGACAGACTGTCTTAATAAAGGGTATGCATCTTTAGTAATCTTAAGCCCTTTAACTCCAGAATATCTGGTTTTCCCATTTCAGGATTACCCTTGGAAACCAATTGGATGGGATCCACTTACTAGACCCAGATGTGGTTGCACGGTTCAAGCAAAGGTATCCAGATGGTATCATCTCTAAACCTAAGAATTTATAGAAATATTTCCTTAGAGAGCTAAGCATCCAGAGTCGTGGCTCTACAGGGTACACTGGAAGAGTAATACTTGTACAGTAGCTTTTTCCTTTATTTAAATAAAGATTTGTATGGTAACTGGGAAGTGAAATTCTGGCTCTGCCATTTAACAGTGTGTTTCTTGTACAACTCATTTCTCAGTATGATTTCTGATAAATAGGAAGTTATTGTGAGGGTTCAAATTAAATGAAAGTATGAGAAGCATTGACACGATCATTACAAAACAGGACTATGCAGGATCAAAATGAGTAGCATTAGGATTACATGAACACGGTTGATTAAGAAGGGGGTTCTCTAGAGAAACTAAGAATTGCTGCTCTAGAACTGCTAATTTTGAGTTTCAGTTAAAATGATCACAAATCATGCTCTAAAGGTTCTTATTCTGTTAACGATGTGGCTTTGCTAAGTCTACCATTCTGCAGCTTTTTCCCTAGAAAAATCAAAGGTAATCTTAGGTTACCTAGAGCATAATAGGGCATGAAAGAATTGGTCTATGTTGTGTAAATGGACATATCTGGTGTGTTACATATTTTAAAAAAGATATTTAATAGAACACAATGGAACTTCTTAAGACTTTGGTCTTATATTAATTTAAGGGTGTAGAATTCTGTCAGATAATAAAGGATGTTACTGAAGAAATATTTTAGAGACAAATAAATTCCTGGTGATGTCATTTTCCCTACAGCCCAATGTGCCTCCTGTGTTGAAAACCTTTGTTCTTAAACAGTGTATTGACATGACAGTAATAGTTCCCTGTTTCAAGGGGGAACCTTTAATGCAATAATCTCTCATTCCTTTATTTACTTTCTGGGTACTAGGGTTAAACCCAGGGCCTCTCTACCACTGAGCTAAGTCCCCCAACCCCCTTATGCCTTTTTAAATGGATGCACAGAGTGGTGTTTCCTTCTAGGATCAAAGCTGAGTACTCGCCCATCATTTTAATAATACTTTTGGCAAGACCTATGACAGTTACACCAAGTTTCCTCAAACAACCTCCACCACCACCCCAGTCCCTATGATTTGTTTGTCCGTGCTCCTTTTGCTCTTTCCTCTGCTTTTATCCTAGTATTTCTGCTTGCAGCTGAAAAGTATAAAGCAATTTCAGACTATAGCGAACTGAATGACCCTGCCCTATAGCCTGGCCACTGCTGAAAGCAGGAAAGGGGGGAAAAGACCATTGCAGGTTGAGATCAGGCACTACCAGAAGCCCAGCTTGTGCTTCAAAACAGGCTCTTGAACTTGTTTCCAGCAGGTAACTCTTCACTGGCTTGGAGAATGGGAAAGACTATTTCACAAACACCACTGTGCTTGGATTTCTAGAGGCTACCCAGGCCAAGAATACATCCCTAAGAGAGAAAAAAGAAACACACAAACTTAAAATTATAGCCTAGATACATTCTTTTTAACTATCTTAAACAAGTAGGTGCCCAAATAATTTCCTATCACCTGTAGGTTGAGGTAGTATCATCTTAGGAATATAAGAACAAAGAACCTAAAAGTCAGAAGTAGAGACAATGCTAATCTATTGTAGAGGATGTGAGATAGGATATATACAAATGCCTTGTTTCATGGATAGTTCACAGATAGAAAATTTTGGTAGAAGGGCAAAATTTTCACAATTTCTCTCTCCCTGTACACTTAGCACCTTATTATGTTACTTCCCACTTACGCATTCCACTCCAATTTCTGATTTCCTAACTGGTCTAATGATTGAAAAGCTAATATTCACAGTGACTAATTATGCATTATATTATTTGGTAGTACTGGGGTTTGAATTTAGGGCCTTGTGCTTGCTAGGCAGGTGCTCTCCTACTTGAGCTACATCCTCAGGCCTTTTTTTTTTTTGGCAGTACTGGGGTTTGAACTAAGGATCTCATACTTGCTATTGCAGGAGCTCTACCACTTAAGCCACTCCGCCAGCCCCTGAATCCTTTTTTGCTTTAGTTGTATTTTAAATATGGTCTCAAGTTTTTGCCCAGGGCCACCCTCATCGCTGAGATCACCAGGTGCACATCATCATACCAGCTTATTGACTGAGATGAGGGTCTCGGACCACAATTCACCTGATCCCTGCCTCCTGAGTAGTTGAGATTACAAGTGTAAGCCACCACCTCTGCTTCTCTAGTAGTATTTTTTTGTTGTTTTTTTGTGATACTGGGCTTTGAACTCAGGGCCTGACAATTGCTAGGCAGGTGCTCTACCACTTGAGCCATTCTGCCAGCTCTAGTATTTATTTTTTAAAGAGCATACACAGAGATACGTGATTACTGAAAAGTGTGAACTGCTATTTATGTCCTCTTTGGCTATGTTGCAAATTAAGTTTGTTTTGGCTCTGAGGATTGAATTTAGGGCCCTGCACATGCTAGGCACTCTACAACTGAGCTATATCCCTAAATGTAAAGCTCTTTTTAAAGAGGTGAACTTTTCTAGTAGCCTCTCCAATCAGACCATATGAACAGCATACTACTAAACTTAAGGTAAGATAACACTGATTATATGCTCAAATTTACCATGTTTCCCAACACAGTTAATTTACTAATTCCTGAATTATAAGGGAACTAAGCTCACCTGCAATGCTTCACCACACACTCATTGCTGCAGTATTCATTGTCCCAGTCCTTACTTACAACGGGAGGGTTCTCACAACCAGACCTTACACATCGAGGCTGGGGTGACAGTGTCACAGGAGACGCGCTCACCAGTTCAACATCCATCTGAGAAGGAGACTCAACCTGTGATAAGAACAGCAACAAAGATAGATTAGAGTACTACCTGTCTTAACTAGCAGGTAGCTCTTTATCTAGTTAAATTATCCCTAAGATCCAATGGAGTAACAGCATAATCCCTCATACTGGGGTAAATATTCCAGAAAAAGGTGAGTTCTTGGTATCTTTTTTTTTTTTTTTTGGTTGACTGGGCTTCATGCTTTAAATCAACCACTCTACCACCTGAGCCACACTCCCAAGTCCATTTTGCTCTGGTTATTTTGGAGATGGAGGGCTCCCAAACAATTTGCTTGGGCTGGCCTCGAACCTTGACCCTCCTGGTTAGTCTCTCCCCCCCCCCCCCCCCCGCCACGTAAATAGGATTACAGGCATGATCCACAGGCACCCAGCAGTATTCCTTTTTTTATGCCCCAGCTTTAGAGCTTTGCCAAGCAGAATGACAAAGATTCTTCCCAGTAGGGGACAGGAGGGCATACACTAGTGCTCTTTAGTTTAGTCTAACCTACCTTTGTTCCACATTTGAATACACCTTCTGAAAGTATCAAAAGGAGTATGTAAGTAGAGATTGAATCATCTCAACTAAGTGAGAGAAGACAAAATGTGATGCTATTAAAAAAAGAATTTGGGGATTCGGTTTTCTGTTAAAAGGGTGTTATTTTAAATGATTGCTTCATTTTAGCGGGGCAGTAGTGGGGTTTGAACTTAGGGCCTTGCACTTGAGGCAGGTGCTCTCTACTTGAGCTAAACCCCTAGCTCAACAACCCCTCCTTAAAAAAAAAAATGCTCTTACACATTTTCACTCGTCTAGAGGAAACAATTGAAATACAGACTCACTTCAGGAACTACATCTGTGATCATTTCACAGATTGTCTCAGGCGAGGTTTCCTCTACCGTATGGGCTTCAGGGCTACTGTTCATAGGCCGCTCAGGACTGCTTTCTACAGCTGGAGGGACCAAAGTAGTCTGTATTTTCAGAGTGGGTGGAGGCACAATCTTGCTCTGCAGAGGAGGTGGCTGTTGTTGTAAGTTGATTCGAACTTTCTGAGGTGGAGGCTGTTGCATGGCCTGAAGTGGAGGAGGTTGCTGCAGAATGGTGACTTGCTGTTGAGTCGGGGGCTGAGGCATCTGTTGTAATGGAGGGGGCTGTAGTCGGGGTGGAGGCAGTTGCATAGAAGCAGCAGCAGCTGCTGCTGCCTGCAGCACTGACCGAGTGACAATCTGGGCTTGCTGGCTGGGCTGGATGGTAGCTGTACTTGTTTGGCCTAGCTGGAGCCCCCGAGAGGTCACCACTGTGGCTGGGATAACAGTAACCATCCCTCCTTGAGACATGGTAATGGAAGAGGGCAACATCTGCTTGGTAATAATTAACTTGGTGATATTGGGCTGACCCCCAGCCCCAGAAGATGCTTGGTTTGCCACATATGATGAAAGAGTGGAATTAACAACAATGCAAGGAGACAGGGCAGGGGATTCTGTTGAGGCTGGTGCTGGAGATGCAGGGTCAACAGTAGCCACAGGAGGTGGTGAAGGAGTCTGGGATGGTGGTACTGGATCTAATTCCACTGTTTCTACAGTGGCCTAAAAAAAAAAGAAAATTGAGAAATTCATTCTCCACTGCAGAATGTATTCAACAATTACCTTTCAAGAAAAGATTTTTTAAAAAAGGAAAGGCTACATCATAGATTAAAAAAAAAAAAAAAAAAAGCAGCTGTAAGTATAGTACAGATTTTGCTGAAGTGAAAACGGGAAACAATGAATAAATTCAACTGCTTGGCAAAGTTTACATATGAAATGAAGTAATGGGAAAGCTATTAAATATTTTAAATTTTTTATAGTAGATTCCACAGGTCTTTGGTAGTCATTTTTTGGGGGGGAGGAGGGAGGGAGGCAGGTCCTCACAGAGCTCTACAACTTGAGTCATACTTCTGCATTGTTTTTCAGATGGTTTGTCTTGCACTTCTGCCCAGGCTAGCCTTGGACAAGATCCTCCTACCTGTCTTCTGAGTGGTTAGGATTATAGGGTATACCACCACACCCAGCTTTTTTGAGAGAGGGTGTTGCTGACTTTTGCCTGGGCTAGCCTCAAACCATAATCCTCCTTACACTATGCCTGGCCCTGTAGTTACTTCTTATAACTTCCTAACAAAGTTTTTTAAAACCTTACTGGTTTAAATGTCCATTTACCTTAACCCTCTTACCTGACATTCTTGGTTGTCTTTATAAGCAGCCAGAGCCTTGAGATACTCTTTCTTGGCAGCTTCGGTTTTCCTCTTATACACCTGTATGAAAGACAAGTTGTTTAAAAATTCTTAGTATGCCTAGAAAAGATTAATTCTATATTCACCAGTGAATGATAGTTCATCTCAGTCTAATCACTGAGCACTCCTTTCAGTGAAAATACTTCTGAGAGTAACAAGGCAGCTTCTGGCACACTAACCCCACAGTCTTGCCCAGAATAACTAAATTTCTTTTTGGTGATACTGGGGTTTGAACTCAGGGCTTCACACTTGCTAGGCAGGCACCCTACCACTTGAGCCACTCCACCAGCCCAAGTAACTACATTTCTAATGTGGACCTCAATCTACACTTACTTCTGTAACAAAAATAAAACTTAACCCCCAAACTGTAAGATCAGTAGCGTGCTTGCCTTGAGACAACCTAACCCAGAAACTCTCCCCAAAAGAATGTGGTAAGCTGTCAAAGATGGCCTCAAGAATTCCACCAAAAGCTGAAGCCTTATTAGCCTTCTTTTGAAGCCTAGTTTTGTGACTTGTTTGATCATTAGAGTGTGGCGTAAGTGATACCGAGACTTAGGAGACCCTCCTGACGTATCTTTTTCATGTTCCTGGAATATTACTTTAAGTCTACCCTATTATAAAAAAGACAATGTAGCCTACTTGGAGGGTGAGAGACCACACCTGGATGAGACCACACATCCTGGCCAACAGACAGCACCAATTGCCAGAATTGGTCAAGGTCATCTTGGCTGCCACAAACTATCATTTGATTGCAACAACAGCAAAAAAACCCAGGCAAGAATAGCAGAAAAACCACCCAGCCAACTGACAGAATCATGACATACAACAAGTTGCTGTTGTTACAAACCATTATCTATAAGCTAAAAATTTTAAAATTAAACTTTAATTTTAATTAAAATTTATTTAATTTTAAATAAAAATTTGAAATTAAAATTTTTTTTAATAAATTAAAATTTTAATTAAAAATTTAAAAATTTATCTTTTGGTTGAAAAATTAAGTAGAAGACTTGCTTTGACATAAGATCCAGGAAGTATAGGTTATGATAAATTACAGCCCATAAAATTTCAATTGTATCTATTTGTACAGAACCAATCTTCCTTCCTCTTCCCCTTTTGAGACTGGGTCTTGCTGTATTTCCCAGGCTGCCTCTCAAGTGCTGGGATTACTGGTGTGAATAACCAGGCCCAGCAACTTAAAAAAATTTTTTTTTGTGGTATTGGGCTTGAACTGAGGTCCTCACCTGGAGCCTCTCCACCAGCCCTTTTTTGTGAAGGATTTTTTCACAAAACCCCAGGATGGTTTTGAACTGAGGTCCTTCTGATCTCTGCCTCCTTAGTAGCTTGGATTACAGACGTGAGCCACCAGCGTCGGACAAGAGGAAATTCTGTATTCCGCATTACTTTATTTTTGAATTAGCATATATCACTAATGGTGATTCCCCCTTTCTTTGCTGGTGGGGGGGCAGGAAGCAGGGAACGACAGGAGTTTGAACTCGGGAATTCACACTTGAAAAACAGGCACGCTACCCCTTTAGCCACCCCATTTTTTCTTTCTTTTTTTTTCTTAAGAGACAGGGTCTCAATGTGGCTGACTCCAAATATCTCAGCTCAAGGGATCCTCCTGCCTTACTCTCTTGAGCAGACACAAACCACCACACCTAGCACTGCTCCATTAACCTTTTCAATCCAGATTAAATGTAGGGAGATTAACTACATTTTTCAAGTTTATTAAGTTGGCCAATGAGAAAATGCTAAGCGCATTTCTAAATCCATCTTCTACAGTTAGCTGCTGTATGCATCTTATAAAGAAATAGCCTACTTTTACAAACACAAAAAAATGAGGCCTAGAAAAGTTGAGTATCTAAAAATCAAACAGTTGAACAAGAAGGAGAAATTGTAAGAGAAATTATTAATGGAAAGCCCACGGGAATAGGAATTGAAGAAGCTGGATTGTGTTTTAACCCTACCACATTAAAAGCTATGTGACCTTAACTGGGTAATGAACCTGTTTCCACCTTCAGTAAAAAGGAGGAAATGGTGGCTATTTTATATCTTTGGAAAGATGTGGTGTTTTTATAATTACTATTAGTAATTTTAAAATGGGTTTTTCTGGACTAGGGACTATAAGTAAATAGTAGGATGCATATTTAACATGTGTAAAGCCAGAGGTTTGATCCCCAGCAACACAATAGACAAGTAAAATGGGAATCTCCTACAGCTTCTAAGACATTCACAAAGAACTGACAGATAAGGACATGTAAGAATGTATTTTTATCCTTTTACTTCAGAATTTTCAAACATTCTGTCTAGTTCCTCATTATTTCCTCACCTGTTTCTGTTCCTCTCCAAGACTATCCCACATGGAAGCCACAATCTTTGAGACCTCACCAAAGGTGGCATTAGGATTCTGTCCCTTAATGGCAGCCTGTGTATCACGAAAGAATAAAGCATATGCTGAAACTGGTTTCTGAGGTTCATTAGGATCTTTCTTTTTTTTCTTCTTTGGGGCCTTCTGCTTTTTCCCAGATTCCACCACCACTGTCTTCTGGGTGGGAAGTTGCTGTAGGGGAGAGAAGAGAAAAAATTCTAAGATGGAAGAAGGGAAGTATTGGGTCTGGAGAACTGTAATAAAAGAACTTTTTTTTTTTGTGGTAATGGGGTCTGAACTCAGCACCTACACCTTGAGCCACTACACTAGCCCTTTTTTTGTGGAGACTTTTCTTCGAGATAGGGTCTCAAAATAGGTGAACTATTTGCTGGGCTGGCTTCAAACTGAAATCCTTCCCATCTCTGCCTCCTGAGTAGCTAAGATTACAGGTTTGAGCCATAGGCGCCCAACAGAAAAGGACTTTAATGAGGAGAAACTAGCCACATGGATGGACTTTATGCTAAAAATGGAGCAACAGTTTTAAAAGTCACTAATCAAGCATATGAGATCCAGTAAGAATGGAAATTGGAAGGAGCATTATGAACTGAAAATCGAGAGATAAGAGACCCCATACCCAGTAAAATGCAGAGAATATGGCAGGGTGGGAGCAAAGAGTAGTGACTAGGCTTTGTATGCCAAGGATTTTATCCTAGAATGTCATGGCAGAATTAACTTTGGCAAGGAACACCTCACCCTCCGGAAGTCTTCAACACCATCCTCATGAAGTGAACTAGTAGGTGAAGGGGTGGTTGAAAGACGATCCTCAGGTGACTGGGCAGGTGGCAAGATGGTGCCGCCCCCTAAGCTCAAACCAAGTTGAGAACTCAGTTCTGACTGATCAATGGTGGTCAACTGGCTATGCCCCATCAAGCCAGATGTCATGTCTGTCATTGGTACATCAATTGTAACAGGTGGGTTGGCACTATACTGAGTTCCTATAGAATGGTCCAAGTCCTGAGAGAAGCAGAAGGACTAATTAAACGCTAAATATAAAAACACCACTCCCCCTCCTGAGTTCACTAGTTTATAAATCCCTTGCACATCCAGACTATCATTTATGAATGCATATATACTTTTTTTTTTTTTTTTTGGGTTGATACTAGGGTTTGAACTCAGGACACATCCCTAGCTCCAGACTATTATATAAAACATCAGATAATGTATACAGAGAAAAAAATCAAGCATTTTTTAAAAGTACAGAAATTAGTCCTACTAATTTGTACTCAAAATTTACTTCTTAGTATTCAAAGGCCTATTCTAAAATAATTGACCAAAGAAGTCTTAATCTTGGACAAATTAAGAGCAAATAACTCCTTTAGTGTCAGTAACCTGTGGATCATGACAACACACAGGGTAAAGAAAAACTTTCCATCTGTTTCTCCTAAAACAATGGTAGGTAAAGTTGCAATGCAACTCAGGGATGTTTGGCATCAAATTTAGAGTGTGGAGTGAGCTGCAAACACAACACATTGATTTATAACACATACTAACACACAACTACATTTGGTTCAGACTATTTTTGAATAAATCCCTCAATGTGCCCCAATCACACATTCGAATCCTAGAATATAACTGTCATAGTAAAAGGGGGGAGGGGACACTAAAAAAGATCACGTGAAATCATTTTCACTTCAAGGCTAACATTTAACATTTTAAAATATAAAATCATTTCAAATCTCATTTATTCAGATGAAATTAAGTCTTTCTTGGTAAGCCATCAGCTGTAAGAATAAGAAACAAGTAATCTTCAAGTATCATAGGAAATGGAGATCAACTGTTGTCTCCTTAACACCATGCCCAGGAGAACGTGGGTGAGCCTGATAATGTCTTGCCCCTTACCATGGTCAAGCCCCCACTCAGGAGCCCCCCGCCCTGTTCCATCAAGCCATGGGTCATGCCCACAGGCATGTCCAATGTCTGGACCCCATATTGGGCTGAAAAACTGCCATCCTGTGAGGAGGAAGGGTCTGCCAGGTCATCAAAGTGGCCAACCACATCTGAGACAGCAAGTGAGGGATCAGAATCCAAGGAGATAGGTGGGATTTCAAATTCCTCATCACCCAAGCTTGGTGTATGGAATGTCTGTAGGGGAAAAAAGGGAAAAAGATTTAGTAAAGAGGAGAAACTACGTATTGCTAAGTGAAGAACATGACTAGATAATAAAGATTTTCAGTGTACCTCTTCCCAGTGATCCCTACTTTTTGTTACGGATTTGCTAGACCTACTAAATTTTATAAACAAGACTCTCCTCTACCTTATATCTGGTCATATGATACAAAAGATTGCAAACATCAATCACAATTTGATTTTTTTATCTCTTTTCAATCTTTACCATCTTGGTTGTCCTAAATTATCATCTACTGTTGAAATGAATAATTCTTTCAGCTTCATTAATTAGGAACCAGCCTCATAACTTGTTTAGTTAAGATGCTTGAAGTCTAAACACGAACAATAATTTCACAATTATTACACTTAAACTGTTAGACCACAGAAATTCATTGTTGACTAGGCAATTATATTTTGTTCTACATTTCTTTATTTATTTCTTTTATCAATTATTATTGTACTAGGGGTACATTGTGACGTTTATAAAAGTTCTTATATCATAGCTAAATTCACCACTTCATCATTCTCCTTTATCCTCCTCCCTCCAAATCCTTTTCTTTTAATGTTGCAGTACTGGGAATTGAACTCAGGGCCTCAAGCTTGCTAGGCAAGTGCTCTATCACTTAAGCCACATGCCCCGTCCTAGGTTCCTTTAAAAGATACTGTCATGGAAAATTTATCCACAATAAAATACCTTCATTTGGTTTCCTATCTAGTCTCCATTTTAGAAATTAAAACATTAAAGAAGTAAAGAAGCTGGGTACTGGTGGCTACACCTGCAACCTAGCTACTCAGGAGGCAGAGATCAAGAGAATCACAGTTCAAAGCCAGGCCAGGCAAATAGTTCACATGAGCCTATGTTGAAAAAATTCTTCACAAAAAAGGGCTGGTGAAGTGGTAGGCTCTGAGTTCAAGCCCCAGTACTGAAAAATAAATATATATTCTCATTTTTGTAGAATTTTTGAGAAATCCCAATAATGCCAAGACAAGGATAACAATTAAGAGAAAAACCTTGCTACAGCCAGAAGTTCTCTTAAAAAATGCTGGAACACATTCCTGGTCTTGCCTGGACCAAGCCTTTTTGTAAGAGATGAAGAAAAAGGTTACTCTAGCTGGCTAAAAACTCAAATCCCATCTTCTGAGTCCAACTAGACCAATAATAATTCACTTTCTTTCTTGCTTTGTTTTTATTTTTTTGAGACAGGGTCTCACTGTGTGGCCCAGTCTGGCCTAAAACTCGAGATCTTCTCACCTGTCTCCTGAGTGCTGGGGTTACAGTCATGTACCACCACACCTAGATTCATTCTTCCTATTCTGAATGAAAAAGGGGACCATCACAGAGTAATACACTGCTAAGGTCTTTTTTTTTTTCTTTTGGGGGGAGGACTGGGGTTTGAAAGCAGGGCTTCATGCTTGCAAAGCAGACACTCTACCACTTGAGCCACACCTCCAGTCCAATTTGCTGTGGTTATTTTAGACATGGAGTCTTGAGAACTATTGCCTAAACAGGTCTTGAATCGTGATCTTCCTGATCTCAGCCTCCAAATAGCTTGGATTATAGGCATGGGCCACTGATGCCTCACTTGCTATGGTTTTTTTGAGACTAAAAAACTAAAATGGAGGAATTTGCAGCAATACAGCATTGTAAGTATTAAGAGATTTTAGTGTCAGAAAGACCTGGGTTCAAATTCCAGCTCTTGCACTTACTATATGACCTTGAACAGATTATCCTCATCTATAAAATGGGAACTATAATGGTAATCTCTTCACAGGGTCATGAGGCTAAATGGGGTTCAGTGCATCAAAGCTCATCACATTTTAACACATATAACTGCCTAATAACCATTATTGGCCATTTAAAAAATATCAATATCCTAAATTATTAAGTTCTACCTGCTCCAATTATCTTATTTGGAATTTTACTATTTATTTATGAATTGGTGATACTGGGGTTTTAACTCCACCACTTGAATCACTCCAGCAGTCACTTTTTTTGCACAGAGTATTGTCGAGATAAAGTCTCATGGACTACTTGCTTGGGGTTGGTTTCAAACCATGATCCTCCTGCTCTCTGTCTCCCAAGTAGCTAGGATTACAGGTGTGAGTCACTGGTGCCCGGCTCTTACTTGGAATGTTAGAAACTTTAAATTCCTCTAAACAAATTTTAAATTCTATCAACCAAGCACACAGCATTGTATGTATCAACTGACATATCAAATTCAATAGGTACCCACTTTTTTATGATTAAACAATGAATTTTATTAATTTGTTTTTAGTACTGGGTTTGAACTAAGGGCCTTTTGCTAATTGAGCTATGCCTGCAGTCTTTTATTTGCTAAAGCAAACAACCTAAAGTGTTTTTTTTTTTTTTTTTTAAGATAGGGTCTTTCATTTATGCCTGGGATCATCCTGGACTGCAATCTTAGACTGCATAGCTGGGACCACAAGCTGTGAGGGTCTCTATAACTTTTTTCCAAAGCTGGCCCCAAACCTCAATCCTCCCAATCTTCACCTTCTATAGCTGAGATTATGGGCACAAGCCACCATGTCTGACCTAATTTTGGTGTTTTGAGACCGGGTCTCCCTAGCTACCCCAGTCTGGCCTGAACTCATGATCTTCCTGCCTAAGCCCCCCAAGTGCAGGGATTTCAATTGTGCACTACCACTCCCAGCCTACACAATGAATTTTAAAGAATTTCTCAAAACTTCTTTAGATCTAGAAAGGGTCTCACTGTTACCACTGTTTTTGTTTTAAAAAAGATGCTACTAAACAGGATGCTGGTGGCTAACACCTGTAATCCTAACTACTTGGGAGGATGAGATCAGGAGGATCATGGTTCAGAGGCAATCTGGGAAGTGAGTTCGTGAGACTCCATCTGAACTAATAGCTGGGGGCAGTGGCATGTGCCTATCATACCAAGTTACCTGGGAGGATAAAATTATGAGGATTTAGGTTCCAGGCCAGCCCAGGCAAAAAAGTTTGTGAGACCACACCATTAAAAAAAAAAAAAAAAAAAAAAAAAAAACAAATCTGGGCTGGGAGTGTGGCTCAAGTGCTAGAGAGTTTGCCTAACAAGCACAAGGCCCTGAGTTCAAATCCCAGTACTATCGAAAGAAAGAAAAAAAAAAAGTCAGCCTGCCAATAAAAAAAAAAAAAAACCTGGGCATGATAATGTGTACCTGTCATTTGCTGGCAACATAAAACAGGAGGATCTTGGTCCAGACCCACCAGGCAAGAAAGCAAGACCCTATCTTGAAAACAAACCAGAGCAAAAAGGGCTGGAGGCATGGCTCAAGTGGTAGAGTGCATGCTTTATAAGCATGAAGCCCTGAGTTCACAGCCCACTACTGCTCCCCCAACCAAAAAAAAAAAAAAAACCTAAAATTTCAGTTTAGGTTCATGTATTGTTCAGCAAGACGGTGCAATGAATTTCACCAAATTCTCAGACAAACAAAAAGTTATAGGGACAGGAAAAAGAATAAAAAGAAACATTCATTGTATTAAGTTAAAAATTGTGTAAGTTTTCAGTTTTGTAAGATATAGACTGTTCTGGCAAAGCAAAAGATGCCTATTCTTTTCTGCTTACCACAACAAATAACACTTTGCCAAGATATGAGAAATGACACTATTTGTTAATGAAAACTTAAAAAGAATGAAAATTCATATGCAAAATAAAGGGACCAGTGGCTTCCCTTTATAAACTGTGTGGGGTGCTCTCATGGACTATACTAAAATATCACACATGGACAGATTCCATTGTATCAGATCAACAAGGCATTCTTTTTAAGCACTACCCTTTGGCATATGAAAACAGCTTTGCTATTCAGTTTCTGGTTTTTATTGCGGGTTTTTGTTTTGAAGTCTTCCTTTAATTATGAATAGTAAGATAACTGTACTTACCAAGAATACAGAAGGATAACTCACTCAATAGTGAAAATAATGAACAGAAAGGTTTACTAAAATCTGTTTTACTACCACAACTGAACTGTAAAATTATGGACAAAATCCAATAATGAGCATCAACTTTGGTGGATCTATTATATAAGTAGACCACTATACAAAATAAGTCATTTAGACACAGAAATGGAAAATAGGAACTTAATGCTACTCTCTCAGGTTTCCTACAATATCCAGTACTTTTTTTTGAGGGAGGGCCAGTTGTGGAATTAGTTTATAGGAAGGATGCTTACATATTGAGCAAACCAAAAAAATTAAAAATACCATTTCTCTCCCTAGAAATCCCCCATACCAAAAACATACAAGCCATTCTGTTTTCTTAGCCCTGGAGATTGAACCCAGAGCCTCCCAAATGCTAAGCAAGAGGACTACCATTGACCTACACCCCAGGTACCCTTTATTTCTTTAAGTAACTTCTTGAATATATTACTAATTTTAGATAATTTATTTTAATCTAACATCTATTTATTCAACAGTAAGTAGCTACTCAAGGGGCAGAGATCATGAGGATTGTAATTTGAGATCAGCCCAGGCTAAAAGCAAGACCCTATCTCAAAAACCCAACAGACAAAACAAGGGCTCGTGGAGTAGTTCAGGCGGCAGAGTGCTTGCCTAGCAACCATGAGGCCCTGAGTTGAAAGCCCTTTACCATCAGAAAGAAAAAAAGTGATATAATAGTGAAAAATTTACAAATTCAGCCTGAAATTAATGGGTTCTAATACAGTAAGTACTTTTTCTAATTAAGGGAAAGTATCTATGACTTCTTATTTTCCCCAAAGTGCTCAAAGCACAAATTACTATGTAAGAGCCAGTCTGAGAGAAAAAGACTCAAGGAAGTTCCCTATCTCAAGCAATGCATAACAAATGCTACACCTTCCTCACTCCTCTCTTGAAACCTAGCTTTTTTTGTTTGTTTGTTTGTTGTTGTTTTGTGGTACTAGGGTTTGAACTCCAGGCCTCAGGCTTGCTAGGCAGGCAGTCTACCACTTGAGCCATTCTGTCAATCCTCTGACACCTAATTTTTAAAAATTATTTCTTATTTTATTGAGGTATAACTTATGTAAGGTACATGAATTTTAAGTATATAGCTCAATGAATTTTTACATATGTAAAAACCCAAGTAACTGTCACCCAGATCAAAAATGAGTAACATTTCTTTCACTATTTTGGCAGTTTAGTTTTGCTTTTTTTTTTTTTTTTTTTGTGGTATTAGGGCTTAACTCAGGGCCTATACCTTAAGCCACTTCACCAGCCCTTTTTTGTGATGGGCTTTTTTAAGATAGAGTCTCGAAAACCATTTGCCTGGGCTGGCTTCGAACCTCGATCTTCCTGTTCTCTGCCACCTGAGTAGTTAGGATTATAGTTGTGGGCCACCGGCACCTGACTAATTTTGCCTATTTTTGACTCTCATAAAAAATTTAACTCATAGCCAGGCACCAGGTGTGATTAACTCACACCTGTAATCCTAGTTACTCGAGAATCAGACATAAGGAGAATTACAGCTCGAAGCCAGTCTAAGCAACAGTTTGAGAGACCCTATCTCAAAAATACCCAGCGCAAAAAAAGTCTGGTGGAGTGGTTCAAATGGTAGAGTACCTGCCTAGCAAGAGTAAGGCCCTGAGTTCAAACCTCAATGCTGCTAAAAAAAAAAAAAATTAACGTATAGAAGCTAACCTTACTTCTGGTTTCTTTTACTCAAACACGTGTACTTATTTTTTACAATAAACTAAGCATCTCTGGCTGCTACAGGGGTACAGCAGACAGGCGCAGTTAAGAAACAACCTTATTTTGAGCAGGGGGATTGACAACACAACACTTAATAGCTATATTGTAGTCTGAATCTTGCTTTCAACAATGTATTTTTGAAACCATCCAAGTTGCATTTCATTTTTAAAACTACTGTGTATTGAGATGTTTCCAGGTTAGCTATTAAGTATAAAGTTGATTTAAAAAGCTGCTGTGAAGTTACATGTATTTGGTGAATCTATGAAATTATTTCTGTTGTGTTCTTCTCTTTTTTTTTTGGTGGCAATGGGGTTTGAACTTGGCTTCACATTTGCTAGGCAGACTCTACTATTGGAGCCATTCCACCAGCCCTGAAAGCCATAAGTTTTTCATTTTTAGATGCATTTTCTTATGAATGAGGCCGGCATGAAATTTACAACACTCTAAATAATAGAATTTAAACTGTGGAAACCTGATTGAGAAGAAATTGGCAATGATGTACTTTCATGTGTATGAGATCAGTATGAGATTTATACTGTGAGATATCATTATTCTCACAGTGAGGGTTATGAAGCCCTCACTCAGAAACTGGCAATGAGATTGCAAAGCACTGAAGAGATTTTAGTTTTGTATCACTTCTAAATTTGTTGCTCATTTGATTGACACTTCCTCTTGCTCAGGAGAAGAGTATTAATCATAGTAACGAATAAGTTTAAAAAACTAGCAACTGCCCATTGTCAATCTACTTCTCATTTATGAAAATGTAAGGGTTTATTAGATAAGCCCAACTTAACAGCAACTGAGAATTCTTGGTACAAAGTATTGCTAGTGGCTGAGGGCTTGGCTCAAGTGGAGAGCACTTGCCTAGCAAGGTCAAAGACCTGAGTTCAAATACCAGTAACGACAAAAAAAAAAAAAACCCACTTTTTTTTTTTTTTCTTTAAAGCTAATGGGTCGTATCACTTCTGAAAAAATTATAATGGTAGAAGGCTAAGGATTTTACAGGCTCACAAAATGGGAAATTTTTCTCTGATCCTCCTTTCACTTTTGCTTCACCTAAGCATATTTATAGTATGGCAATATTTCAAGAGAAGCTTTTTTAGGAATACTTTTGAGCCTCGACACAACCATTACTTTTATTTCTACTTCAGACCATCATAAGAAACTACTATTTATTTCAGCCATTTCACGGCTGGGGAAGTATACAAATGTGAAGCAATCTGCCCGAAGTTGAGTCACTGGCAAACAGAAATACAAACTCTACTCAACTCTTTTGATGTTGTTTGGTAGCTATTTTCTTCCCTACTGTCGTTGGCAAAACAAGCTGACACCATAAAAGAAACTACCTTTAATCAGAGTAGGTTTTTTTTTGTTTTGTTCTGTTTTGTGGTACCAGGGCTTGAACTCAAGTCCTACACCTTGAGTCACTCCACTAGCCCCTTTTTGTATTAGGTATTTTTGAGATAGAGTCTTGCAAACTATTTGGCTGGGCAAGCTTCCAACCTCGATCCTCCGGATCTTTGCCTCCTGAGTAGCTAGGATTACAGACGTGAGCCATTGGCGCCCAGCCAGAGTAGGAAAATTTTAAATAAATAAAAAAGATCCCTTCGGCAGAGTTCAAGAATGAGCACATGTCCAAGGCTAACCTCTGCTAAGTAAGCTCTTCCCTTCATCCCGATTTCTTCAGTTGCTGAAAATTTTTCTTCCCACTTCAATCCCCATGACTGTAGAATTTCGCCCCAATTCCAATCAGTCTTTCAAGCCAGAATCACTCTCCTCCTTAAGTAGGTAATAGCTTTTCTACATCCTAGTTTTCTGATAACAGTAGCTTCCCGGACCTTCCCCAGACAGTCCCAAAGGCTCTAGAAGCAGCGGTTACTTTTCTCAAACACCCATCGCGGCCCCTAGTTCCCAGCCCCCAACCCCCGGCTTCCGTGCTCTCTTCCCCGCCACCCTCCCCCACCCCCACCCCTACCCCCAAGCGCCGGCAGCTCTTGCTCACCTCGGCCCCTGACAGGAAGGGGTGAGAGGGCCCTGTGATCGTCAGGTAATTGTCGTTTCCTCCGGGAAACTGGAAACCAAAAGAAAGCCGCGGGGATAAGTTAGGGGGAGCAGAGAGTTAGCTTGGAGCGAATTCTGACCCCGACATTCTGACCACACTCCCCAAACCCCCGCTCTCTCTCCTCTCGGGTCAGCCGCTTTTCCACCCGGCTTCACGCCTCTGCTTCAACCTAGTCGACCCCGCTTTCTCGCCAGCCTTCTCAGTGCCCAGGTTCCTACCTCCATCTTCACACAACCAACTACCACCGTCTCAGTCCCCTCATCGCTCCCACCGCCCCCACTGGACTCGGAATGCGTCACTTCCGCAAGGAAGTGCGTCACTCCCCATCGACTGGAAGGAGGGCAGTGGGGCTGCAACGAGTCACGTTCTGAGCCTTCTGAAAGGCTAGCTATCGCCCCCTGGAGTTTGGTGGGATGGTGACATGTAGAAGTGCCCGAAGCGTCCCTAGAGGCGGCGTCTGGTACTCCGGATCAAGGGAGGGTTTCTGGGGAGAGCAATAGAGACGCGGTCTGGGCTAGAGGGGCTGGATAAGGGGGGGAGGGGGAGAAAATAAGGAGATCGGTAGATTGAGTAGCTAAGAGGTCGGAGGTAAGTGGCTGCAGAAAGCAGGAGGACCCGGAGTACAGAGGAACCAGGACCATGACTTATGCTTATCTCTTCAAGTACATCATCATCGGAGACACAGGTAACCCGCGGGTGGACAGTCAAGGCTGGGGCGGGGTTCCGAAGCTCCCAAATCGGGTCGCGGGGGCGGGGCTGACTTAGTTGGCGGGGGCGGGGCGGCAGCCGGGGGCGGGGCTCTGGGCTCCCCTTTCTTAGTCCGGGGTGCGGGAGTCTTCAAGCCGCGAAGCGCTGTGGCCGCGCGCCGGGTGGGATGCACTTGCTCCTCTTCCAGGTGTGGGGAAGTCATGTCTCCTCCTGCAGTTTACGGACAAGCGGTTCCAGCCTGTTCACGACCTTACAATAGGTAAGCATATTTACTTGTTCTAGAAGAGGAACCTGACTAGCGATGTTCGCAGAAAAAGTAACTACACTACTTTAGCCAAGTCATGTTAAATGAAAAGTAACTAACCAATCTCCCATAAATAATTGAAGGATAACTTTAGAGATGAATGTACGATAACAACTAATTGCTTTAGGATCTTTTTCTTTTTTGGCGGTACTTGGGTTTGAACTCAGGGCCTCACGCTTGCTAGGCAAACGCTATACCACTTGATCCACTTCACCAGCCCCCGTAAGATTTTTTTTTTTTCCTTCAAATGCAACTTGTATATTTATGCCAAATCCCATGAAAGCATGACTACTTATTCAATGACTCATCTGTGGTTTGTGATAAATCAGTAGCAACTCACACATGTTTTGCAAAGTAAGCACAAATACGTGGATTTTCGTGTGTGTGTGTATGTATGTATGTACATATGTGGCAGTTGAAGAGCCATTCTAGCCTTAAAGTGAAAAGGCAGGTGAAAAAGAAAAAAGGTGTGATAGGATTCCAAAAACCTACTGATGATTGGGGAAAGTATTAACATCTCAGTAATAAGGCATGGACTGCAGGGGCTTTCAAGTCCATAAAGCCAGCCCAAGTAAACCATATATGTAAAACTAGTTTTCTCACCTCCGGAATGCAGTTTTTAAATAAAACCCCAGATCCCCATTCTTAACAATATTGCTACTTCCAGTTCTACCTGTATAGAAAGCTAAAGCTTCCTCTGTTCCTGATTTATTCAAAGCCAAATAATTGGTGAGGTTAAAAAAGGATTTAGAGGATAGCATCAACCAGAAAATATTTTGTTCAATGAACATTAAGTAAGTACCTAGGCTATGAGAGAAACTAATCATCCCATGCTTAGCAAGACATTATACCTGCCCTCCAGTAGCTTGTAGGCTTCCAGTGAAGGAGGCAGGGCTGGAGTCAAATACTAACAGGAAACTTTCTATTGCAAAAGGGCAGGAGAGGCTGGACATGAAGAGCAGGAGTTAATTAGGCACAGAATTTAGAGAGGAAGAAGATGATCAGAGCAAGAGGGCTCTGGGATGGCAGAGGTTCAGTCACTTTTTGAAAATTGAAAATAATTTAATATAGCTGGAGTATGGGCTTTGAAGTGGAGAGCAGCAAGAAATAAAGCTAGAGAAAAAATTAGGTACCAAATTTTGAAATACACGAGGGTAACAGGGAGCAAATAGCAAGTTTTAAAGGGTAGGAGTGAAATGATAAGTCAAGTGTTTCCCCCACAATCCAATAGAGCTTGTGTTTTTTCTCAGTTCAGTTCTCTGTACCATGACAAGGCAGGTGAATAGAAAATATGTGCAAAATATAAGAAACTGCATAGACAAAAGTTATTTTTTAGATTCTTACCCACTGAAATTCCATTCCTATTGTTCAGAAAGTAAGAAAAAAATAAAAAATTTGTGACTTTTTTCAGTAGCTACCTTTTTTTTATTATTATTATTATTATTATTATTATTATTATTATTATTTTGGTGGTACTGGAGATTGAACTCAGGGATTCGTTCTTGCTAGGCAAGTACTCTACCACATGAGCCATTCTGTCAGCCCTACCTTTTGATAATTGATGAAGCACTGGAGCAGTACAAAGCAATTCTTACAAATTTTCTATTGAGTGTAGCACCATAGAGATATTCCAGATACATGGTTCATATCTATGTTAGAGCTACTGAATAGTTCAGTAACTCTGAGGTCTCTAAATCAGTGATTTTTTTCTGAAAATCTGACTTTTTATGCTATCTGCAAAGTACTGTATGAAAACAGAAAATAGAACAAATTGTCTGACTTATGATAGCATTTATAATGTAAGTGACTGTTTTTAAAGTTTTGGTCTGACATTACCTTGAGAGAAGAAGAATTCTAGATAAACCAAAAACCTTATTCAGATTGCCAGTTCATATGAGGGAGGCTGTTTTCCAAAGAATTTTGGAATTATTGATGATCTGAGATGTATCATTGTTCTTAAAGACCTTTTTTTTTTTTTATAAGAGCTCTTTTCTTAGAAGTTCTAGAATTACAAGAAAAGAAATGCTGTTTCATACAGATAACTAGAGTGTACTCTGAGACAATGCCAGGAAATATTTTCAAAAATTTTAGAAGTTTTTTGAGGAAGTTATAAAATTAAATGTTACTTAGTCAAATTTAAGTGTTAACCAACATTGCTAAGAAGTTGCTCACCTTTTTAATTGCTTTCTTTGAATAGGAGTTTTGTTTTGTTTTGTTTTTGTTTGCAGGCCTGACCAGGGCTACATGCTTGCTACACACATACCTCTGGCCCTTTTTGATTTCCCAAATTAATTTTAATCCCATATCTGTGTTTTGGCGCATCCATTAGGGCATTATCACCTAGAACACTTGTTTTTGTTAGTTGTAGGGATCAATAGGGATCAAACCAATGGCTCCATACATGTAAGGCAAGTGCTCTGCCATCAAGCTGTACCCCCATTTTCCTAGAACACAAGTTTTTAATTTTAGAAAAAAATGAAGAAATGTAAAGGAACACAGAAGTAATTGGAGCAAATGAGCAACAGTACTGGGCTTAGTGTACTGAGTACAGACAAAGGAAGAGTTGTAACACACTGAGAAAAAGCTTGAGCCTCCCACTCAACATGTCTGGTGGTCATGTGACTCACATTCTTCCTCTTGGTCTTCACTGACAGGCGTGGAGTTTGGAGCTCGTATGGTCAACATTGATGGAAAACAAATTAAACTGCAAATCTGGGATACGGTAAGAGAGGACAAAATAATTTAATTCCTGATCAAGGTCCAAATATAACAGTGGACACTGATGCAGCTGGGCATGGTGGTGCATGCCTGTGACCCTAGTATCAGGAGGCAGAGGCAGGAGAATCATGAATTCAAGGCCAGCCCAGGTTATATAGAGAGACTTTGTCTCAAAAAAGAAAAATTGAATGCCATCTTCCTGCATCTTTTGTTTTAAATGACCTAGGTAATATATTACTTTATAATAAAAAATAAAATAAAATAAGTTTCAGAGTAAAATGTGAATTTCCCTTTTAAACACATAAACCCCTTCATCCTCTCAACTTTCCTTGCTACTTTGCCTCAGGAATCCACTGTTAATGATTCCATGTATGTGTCTTCACTTTTTCTGTGCATTGAAATGGGATTTTTTTTTTTTATTTCCTTATCTTCATATTTTGGAGACTTTTGTATAATGACATGTACACATCAACTTCATTTCTTTTAACCACTGCATAGTCATAGAATATACTATATTTATTTATTTAACCCTCTACCCATGGATGGAAATTTAGGTTATTTCTAATTTTTCACCATTGCAAATCTCTATTGAGCATTCTTATTTACTATGTCTTTATGCAAATGCTTGAAAATTTCTATGGAATACCTGCCCAGAAATGGAAATTCTGTGTCAAAAGTTGTGCATATTTTAAAATTTGATAAACACAGTACTATCAGAGTTTAGCTTGGCTTAATTACATCATTTTGCTTCATCCAGATAAATTGCTTTCATGTGTATTATCTCATTTGAGTTATGCGTTCCCCCACCCCGAGAAAAATATCTTAGTCTCTTTTATAGTTAAAGGGAGCTAGACAGCTAGGCGCTAGTGGCTCAAACCTATAATCCTAGCTACTTGGGAGGTTGAGATCAGGAGGATTATGGTTGGAGGCCAGCCTGGGCAAATAGTTCGTGAGACCCCCATTTCCAAAATAACCAGAGCAAAATTGACTGGAGGTGTGGCTCAAGTGGTAAAGTGCCTGGTTTGCAGGTGCAAAGCCCTGAGTTCAAACCCCAGTTCCACCAAAAACAAAACAACAACAGAAAATTTCAAAAGGGAGCTAGAAAACAGTTCCTAATATTTAGCTAAAATCTCTTCTTGTTTTTGTTCTTTTTTTCCCCCTACATACCTCTTCTGTTTAATTCTTTATTTTTCTATTTCTTACTTGATTCTGTTTCTCAGAACTAAGGGTTATAGCCATCGTATCTACAAGGAGTATACAAGTTATTTTCCTTTATTCTATTTCTCCTTTTCTCCTCATTTCTCTCTCTCTCCCCTGTGTGCCTTCTCCTGTGCCCCACCACACACAGGTGTCTGTCTTAAGTTTGCTGCTCTAGGGCGTTTTTGACAGAGTTCTTTTCTGGTGTTCTCCAAGTTTCTTACCCCTTTTGGATGCACTGATGAATTAGGTGCTTTTTGCCAGGAGGATATTTTCTTGCATGTTTGTTGGTCGTGTTCCCTCTGATCACATTTTTTATCACTGTAGTAGGTTGCCCTAAATATAGGAACATGAATCACTTCATATCTCTTAACAGTGTTTAACTCTAGTCAGGAACCACAGTAACTTCCAGATGTGCTTTATTTGGCCAGTTTTTGCTTTTAGCTTCCCCCTGTCCCCAATAAAGCCTAAGAAATTTTACTCTATATCTGTTACCAAGGTTAACCTCATGTGTTTTTTAAATTGCTGCCACACATTCCCTTCTTTCATTGTTGGGACTCAGGTTCTTTGTCACTATTATCCCTAATTAGGTATTTTAATTTACCTTTTATTATCCTCTGATTTTTATATTTCCCATAAAGGGAGGTTTGGCCCCCTAAAGAGGCCACAGCATAAATTCTGTGGCTGTGACCAAGAGTGAATCCTTTGAGTATGAAGACTGGTATAAGCTAGATTCTACCTCTTTAACATAAACCTCTACCATTTCCAAAAATGAATGTTTTGATGCCAGGTGCCAATTAATAGTACAGTCATGGCTGTGTGTTGGCTTGCTGGCTTGTTTCTTTTTTCCCTTAAGTGCACATATGAGAGCACTTGGATCATGAAGTAAGAAAGTTGAGAGCTACTACTGTGTGTATGGGATCCTTAAGAATTATGTGGTTGGCCAGGCTCTGGTGACTCATAGCTGTAATCCTAGCTACTTGGGAGGCTGAGATTGGGAGGACCAAGGTCTGCCCAGGCCAGTCTGGAGAAACAGTTCTCAAGACACTATCTCCAAAATAACCTTCAGCCCTGGAGGTATAGTTCAGAAGGTAGAGTGCCTGCTTTGCAAGTATGAAGCCCCAAGTTCACCAAAAAAAGAGAACTATGTGACTTTGACTATCTAAATGGCCTACATTCATTTCTTTCCTGTTTTGAGATTAGATTAGTCTTTGCTGAATCATAAAAAAACAGTTTTCACAATATTGGGTTTCTGTTTATTTTGAAAATGTTAGGAGATCCGTATCCACATTGTCCTATCTCTCTTGTTTGCCGCTTTCTGAATAAGTCTGATCATTTCTACCTTGTCATCCTGATCTTTTGCCCATTGTTTACTCACCTTGACTTCCCACTTTACTGACCCATCTCCTCACTTACTGCTAAAGCCATCCTACATGAAAATGTTTAGGGATTACTGTGGTGGATGTTTTATTTTATTTGTGTTGGTGGTTAAACATAGGGCCTTTTGTCCTGGCCCTCTAATGTTGAGCTCCATACTGGGTATTTTGAAGAAATAAGGTTATCCAATGTTTTATATTGTCACTGTTCTGATATTGATAAGAATTTAGAGAACCAAGTTGCTTTTTATCTTTTTTTTTATTTTATTTTTTTGGTGGGACTGGGGTTTGAACTCAGAGCTTTGCACTTGCAAAGCAGACACTCTACTGCTTGAGCCACACTTCCAGTGCATTTTGGATGGGTTATTTTGGAGATGGAGTCTCTGGAACTATTTGCCTGCACTAGCCTTGAACCACATCCTCCCTATCTCAGTCTCCCAAGTAAGTAGTATTACAGACAAGAGCCACTGGTGCCCAGCTGCTTTTTCTCTTTTGTTTATGTGCATGTGTATATTTATGTATACATATATATTCATTTTCAGCCATGCTAATGAAGAAACATTGCACTGTAGTGAATATAAAACAGATTAATCTCAAATTAATTTGAATTTTATTTTGGAATACATATCGATTCTTAGGTAAAGAGTATATCTGAGTTTCTAGGAGTTGATATTTCAAACTGTATTTCATAAAAGTTTAATTGGATGCTCCCACTTGGGAGAAATTAGAAAGCTATGCATTCTTTTTTAATTAAAGCACTTTCTTAGTTATTTGCTGCTTCAGATTTTTTTTATTTTAATTTTTATTTATTCATTGATAGTGCTGGTGTTTGAACTCAGCCTTGTATTTTGCCAGGCAAGTGGTATGCCACCAATTAAACCATGACTGTAGCTGCTTCAAATTTTTTATTGGGGCTAGACAAGGATACCTGAGACTGATGCAGATTAGCCTAAATTGTCTTTTCAGTTTACTGGCACAAAAACTTCCCATCTTCCTGCCTCAGCCTTCTGAGTGCTGGCGTGATGTACCACGCCCCACAAGGAGGAAGACTTTCACTGATAGCAGAAGAGGAGAAAAAGTATGAAATAAAAGCAAAATAGGACCCAAATAACGTAAGACATAGAACTACTGGGGAATGAATATAAATTTTAAGTGAGCTATTAGAGGGCAAAAGTATTTTTTAATCTTTAAGTATTATTAGTATTACCAAAAATAGACTTTAAATTATTTTTCTTTTCAGATTCCAACATTCAAAAAATTACATAATTCATTAAAACATTTGCATGATTCTTTTTTTTTTTTTCTGGTATTGCATGTTTTTTTTTTTCATTTTTCTTTTATTATTCATATGTGCATGCATGATTCTTATATAGAGAGAATCTTATGTATTTGAAAAGTAACCTTAGAGTTAGTGGACTGGAACTCTCCTCAATAAAATCCTGATTTAAATTATTTGCTATGATGGCTAAGAGGAATAACTTTTAGGGCCAGGAAAAAACACTAAGATGTTCAGTTTAAATTAGCACTACTAGGATTTTTTGGGGGGTAAGTACTGGTTTGAAATCAGAGCTTTGCTTTGCGCCTGCGAGGCAGCAATCTGTCACTTGAGTCACACTACTACCTATTTTACTTTAGTAGGTTTTTTTGGCAGTAACTGGGGTTTGAAACACCTTGTGCCACCCCACCAGCCCTTTTTTTGTGATGGGTTTTTTTAAGATAGGGTGTCATGAACTATTTGCCCAGGCTGACTTCAAATCTCAATCCTCCTGATCTCCTGCCTCCTGAGTAGCTAGGATTATAGGCGTGAGCCACTGCGCACGCAGCTAGCCATTTTTTAATAGGGTCCTCACATTTATGCCTAGGCTGACCAGAAACATGATCCTTCTATTTGTTTTCTTTCAGCATGACTGGGATGACAGGCATGTACACCCATGCCCAGCTTTCTGTTGGTTAAGATGGGGTCTCACAAACCTTTTTGCCCTTGCTGGCCTCAAACTGTAATCCTCCTGATCTCTGCATCCTCTATAACTAGGATCACAGGCATGAGCCACAGACCTGGCTACTTTGTGATTTTTTTGACCAGTTACTGAACTTGCCCCTTTGAGCCTCATTTTCCCTATTTGCAAAGAGGATTAATAACGGTAATCTTTGTCTCAGGGCTAAGAGAAATAAATAAGACATATTTAATTGTCCCTTTTGGTTCCTCACCCACTGGTATGTCAAAAAATAGTTTAAAATATTGTAGTTGTATTATTATTACCATCATTACTATTATTGGTATTAGATTACAAAAAAGCCCTTTATCTTCTCATGTCCTCAGCTTAGTTCTCCTGTCTGTCTCCTGTCTTACTTCCCAACTTCTATGTAAGACTGTGAGGATAAATTATTTCAAAAATGTAAAAGCTTTACTAATGAGACATTGAATGCACAGGGCATTTAAAAGACACTTTTGCTTCCCCTAAAGAAAAACAAAAGCTCATACCTGTAATTCTAGCTACTTGGGAGGCTAAGACTGGGAGGACCAAGGTTTGAGGTCAGCCCAGGCAGATAGTTCATGAGACCCCCATCTCTAAAATAATCAGAGCAAAATGGGCTGGAAGTGTGACTTAGATGGTAGAGTGCTTACTTTGCAAATATTAAGGCCTGAGTTCAAACCCCATCCTAGCAAAAAAAGAAGGTATAAGCATAAGGGGATTAAAAAATGGCTCACTTATAAAAAAGGCAGTATTTTGGCTTGATTAGAAATGAGATTAGGGCATGAATAGGCTTTTCTCCCTCAGAAAATTGTCCTGATCCCCCAGCATCTTTCCCTGCTCCTTATTTCTATTTCCCATGACAGGATCTCAGCAAGAGACATCCATGTAGTCCTGCCATTATCCGAGTAACACTGAAGGTCAATTAGCATGTGCTGATTTTCTACATTGATCCACTGACATGAAACTTCATCTGATAAGGATCGGCATTCTAAGATCATTCACTTTTATAAATAAAGGAGCAAGAACAGGAAGAGTAATGTGACAGATTTGACATCCCATTTGGGTTTGAACATATGGCATACCCCAAGTTTCCAACCCCATTTCCAGTTCTTGTCTAGGTTGAGAAATGTATGCAAAGGTATCTGATGTTATGCTTACTGTGGGAGGCTACCAGCATTGTGTGGCTGGGATCTAGAGATGTTAAACATCCAGCAATTTGATGGATGTCATTGCTCAGTGTCATTTGGTTATCAGTGCAGAAAGTAATAATTAACAGTGAAGGCTGAAGATGGGTTGTTTCAGAGGCTCACCTCGAGTGTGTGTGTGCGTGTGCCTGTGCACATGTGTTAAAATTGGCAGGCTTGTGCATTGCAGCTTGCTGTAGCCATGTGTAGAAGGGAAGAGAGATTTTTCTTGTTCCAACAGAACAAAAGCCTGTCTTAAAAAGGAATGGCCTTCAGTCTTCATGAGGAAGACTAAGATAGCAATTGCAATCTCATTGACTTCCCTCCTGGGCTTCTCAGCAGGCATGTTTCCTTTCACCAATTCTGCTAACAAAAATTCTTTCTTTAGTTAACCCTGTTGGTGTTAGGGTGACACGATCAAGTCACTCCTCTGGAAATAACGTAGTTTTATTGGTATTTTTTATTGCCATGTTCATGGGAAAGGCTGGGCAAGAATCCTTCCGTTCTATCACCCGTTCCTACTACAGGGGAGCAGCCGGAGCACTGCTGGTGTATGACATTACCAGGTGAGCCAGCTCCAGTGTGCAAGGGGAACTCTTCCCACTTTCTCCAGAGCTTTCTTCTCCGTGTACTGGCTCTAGTCAGGTTGCTCACTTGGGATGGCCTCTGCAATACAGTTTTGTGTACATACAAGTTTCTCCTTTTCCAACACTTCTCTGCTATAGGCGTGAAACCTTCAACCACCTGACCTCGTGGTTAGAGGATGCCCGCCAGCACTCCAGCTCCAACATGGTTATCATGCTGATTGGGAATAAGAGGTAAACTATGATCTTCATAAATGATACCAGGAATCCCCTAAGGTACTCTATGGACATTTAATTCCTTGGTCCCCAGACTTTCTTAGTTTATGCTCTTAATGTCTCGATAAAAAAAATTGCATTGTGGTGAAATATACATACATAAAAATCTACCATTTTAACTATTTTAAGTGTATAGTTCTATGGGATGGGGTATATTCACATTATTTTGCAACCATTGCCACCACACATTTCCAGAACATTTTTCATCTGCTCAGACAAACTCTGTACCTATTCAACACCCCTTCTTCAGTCCCTGGCAACATCATTCTAATTTCTCTATGAATGTGACTACTCTAGGTACCTTATATAAGTGGAATCATGTATTTGTGCTTTTTTGATGGACTTATTTTACTTAGCATAGTATCTTCAAAGCTTATTCATATTATAGCATGTATCAAAATTTCCTTCATTTTTAAGGATGAAGGAAATACTCAATTGTATCTGTCCTTGGGTTGCTGCCACCCTTTGGCTGTTAGGAAAATTAGTACAAAGACCTATGTGTTCAAGTCCCAGCTTTGAATTCTTTTGGGTACATCTAGAAGCAGGATTTTTGGATCATATGATGACTCTGTTTTAATTTTTTTGAGGGACCACCATACTGTTTTTTCAAATCCTTGTCAACACTTGTTATTCTCAGTACATTTTTTTTGCATCCATAAGGCAAAAGAAATATTTAACAGTTTTATTAAGTAGTTAGATCTAAATAACATAACATAGATATTTTGTAACAACTTAGTAACTGTTTGAAAAATTAAAAACCAAATTTTATTTATTTATTTATTTATTTATTTTTGTGGTACTAGGGATTGAACCCAGGGCCTGAAGCTCTACCACTTGAGCCATACCCTCAGACCTTTTGTTTTTAGTTTGTTTTATTTTATTTTTGTGGTGCTGGGGTTTGAACTCAGGCCCTACACCTTGAGCCCACTCCAGCAGCCCCCCCTTTTTTTTTGAAGGATTTTTTTGAGATAGGGTCTTGGAAACTATTTCCCTGGGCTGGCCTCAAACTGCGATCCTCCTGATCTCTGCCTTCTGAGTAGCTAGGATTATAGTCATGAGCCACTGTCGCCTGGCTTTAGTTTGATTTGAGATTGAATCTCGCTAGCTTTGCCTGGTCTGGCCTCAAACTACAGTCCTACTTCTGCTTCCTGAGTACCTGGTATTACAGGAGTGTACCACCAAACCAGGCTCATCTCATTCTTTTTTATTGGTGGTGCTGGGGTTTGAACTCGGTATTGCATTTGGCATGCAGGTAGTCTACCACTTTAGCCACACTCTCAGCCGTTTTGCCTCATTTTTCAAATTGGATCTTATTTTATGCCTGGACTGGCCTGGGCCTCTACCCTCCTATTTATGCTTCCTGCATAGCTGAGATGACAGCTTCACAAAGATAGGATGATATTGAACAGAATCTATAATGATCTGATGTTGACACTGCACTCTCTTAATTTTGTAATTCATGTGGTATTGTGATGTTGAGTGTTGCTGTATTTCCCTCAAAATATAAAATAGTTGTGGCGCCCTTATAAGTTTGTAGTGGTATGCCATTTTAGAATTGTGGCCACAGGCTAATTCATTTATTGGTTCAACTGATTTTTTAAAAACTTGCAAGCCAGACACTGTGCCAGACCCCTGAGTTTTCAAAGTGAAAAAAAAAGTCATGTCTCTGCTCTTATGGAGCATGTAATCTAGTGGGAACATATATAAGTATTAAATCATTTATATAAAAAGTGATTTGTATCTAATTAGAAATTGTGATATATGCAGCGAAGGGGAAAAAGGTTAACAGCGTACCTTTTTGTATTTTTTTGTGGAACTGGGCTTCATGCTTGTAAAACTACCTATTTTTGATTAGGAGTGACACTAAATTGGGATCTGAAGGATGGGCAAAAACCTGCTCGGCAAAGATTTGAAAAAGAGGTATCACATAGGAAAACTTTGTACTCAGAAGAAGCTTGGCAAGTGTTTTTTTTAATTGGCACATAATAAATTGTACATATGTGACATTTCCTTGCATGCATATAATGTACTTTGATCATATTCAACCTATTGCTCTCCCCTTCTTCTCTTCCCTTTCCATCTCCCTCATAGTCCCCTTTTTACTTTCATGACCTTGTTTTTTTATTTTGTCTTGTAAGTTTTTGTACTGAAGGAAACTCAGTATGGTTGAACTGAATGAAGAGGGAATAAATGATGCAAGATGAGGGTGGAAAAGTAGACAGGGGCCAGATTTCATAGCACCTCACAGGCCTGAGTAAAGTTTTGGCTTTATTCTAAACATAGTGGAAGTATTTAAGAGGGTTTTTGTGGTGGTGGTAGTTTTTGTGGTTTTTTTGTTTTTATTTTTGTTTTGTGGTGCTGGGGATTGATCCAAGACCTCATGAATGCTAGGCAACTGCTCTACCACTTAAATGTGGGACCCCCAAGTCCCACGTTTAAGAGTTTTAAGCAGACTGGTGGCTTCATCAGATTTTAAAAGATCATCTTGGAGGAGAACAAAGGTTGAAATAGGATCCTAATTATCCCAGTAGTTCAGGTCACGAGAATGGTGGCCTGGAGTATGATAGTGTCCTGAAGAGAGAGAAGGCCGACTCAGTGCATATTTTAGAAGTGCCTTACTTAGGGACGGATTGGGGGTTTGGAGTGAGGGAGGAAAGGTATCAGTCAGCACCTGTTTTGTCTTGTGCCGTTTGTTTACTGAGATGTGGAAGCCTGGGAAGACCCAGGTTGGGGAGGAGGGAAGAGTTCCATTTCGGTGTGTTCAGTTTGAGGCGCTTTTTATATCAATAGGAAATGAAGAATGTACAAATGGAGGACCCCGGAGCTTGGAGCGTCTGTGCTTAGGGATACCAGTGTGGGAGTGTTTGCATTTAGATAGCTAGATCACTCATCCTAGGTCTTCACATAGCTCTTGTGTAATAAATGGAAACTTTGTGGACTTGTTGTTTATAGACTTACTCTGATTTTTTTTCATGGTTGAAAAACTGGAAACTTTCCAAATGAAAATTTCCAACCTTATTCTTTTTTTTTCTTTTTTTATTATATTCATATGTGCATACAATGTCTGGGTCATTTCTCCCCCCTTCCCCCTGCCCCCTCCCTTCTTCCCCTCCCTCCCGTACCCACCTTAACCCCTCAATACTCAGCAGAAACTATTTTGCCCTTATCTCTAATTTTGTTGTAGAGAGAGTATAAGCAACAATAGGAAGGAACAAGGGTTTTTGCTGGTTGAGATAAGGATAGCTATACAGGGCATTGACTCGCATTGATTTCCTGTGCGTGTGTGTTACCTTCTAGGTTAATTCTTTTTGATCTAACCTTTTCTCTAGTTCCTGGTCCCCTTTTCCTATTGGCCTCAGTTGCTTTAAGGTATCTGCTTTAGTTTCTCTGCATTAAGGGCAACAAATGCTAGCTAGTTTTTTAGGTGTCTTACCTATCCTCACCCCTCCCTTGTGTGCTCTCGCTTTTATCATGTGCTCATAGTCCAATCCCCTTGTTGTGTTTGCCCTTGATCTAATGTCCACATATGAGGGAGAACATACGATTTTTGGTTTTTTGAGCCAGGCTAACCTCACTCAGAATGATGTTCTCCAATTCCATCCATTTACCAGCGAATGATAACATTTCGTTCTTCTTCATGGCTGCATAAAATTCCATTGTGTATAGATACCACATTTTCTTAATCCATTCGTCAGTGGTGGGGCATCTTGGCTGTTTCCATAACTTGGCTATTGTGAATAGTGCTGCAATAAACATGGATGTGCAGGTGCCTCTGGAGTAACCTGTGTCACAGTCTTTTGGGTATATCCCCAAGAGTGGTATTGCTGGGTCAAATGGTAGATGAATGTACAGCTTTTTAAGTAGCCTCCAAAATTTTTTCCAGAGTGGTTGTACTAGTTTACATTCCCACCAACAGTGTAAGAGGGTTCCTTTTTCCCCGCATCCTCGCCAACACCTGTTGTTGGTGGTGTTGCTGATGATGGCTATTCTAACAGGGGTGAGGTGGAATCTTAGTGTGGTGTTAATTTGCATTTCCTTTATTACTAGGGATGGTGAGCATTTTTTCATGTGTTTTTTGGCTGTTTGAATTTCTTCTTTTGAGAAAGTTCTGTTTAGTTCACTTGCCCATTTCTTTATTGGTTCATTAATTTTGGGAGAATTTAGTTTTTTGAGTTCCCTATATATTCTAGTTACCAGTCCTGTGTCTGATGTGTAGCTGGCAAATATTTTCTCCCACTCTGTGGGTGTTCTCTTCAGTTTAGAGACCATTTCTTTTGTCCAACCTTATTCTTTTTATTCTATCCTTCATACTCTTTCCATGCCTCTTCATTCACTTTCTCTGTCCTTGGGGTCTTTTTCTCTCCGTAATTGCCTAGTTTTATCCATATATCTTTCTCTTAATACCTGGTACCAAGACACTTTTATACAACTAGACATGAGACTGGTGAGAGCTACGGCAAGTGCTCTCTTCATTCCTGGCTCTCCCTCTTGTTGTGTGTTGATTCCAGGAAGAGGAAGACGCTCATTACTACAGAATGGGAAATCCTATTACTTTTCTATTTTATAGCAACTAGTGTTTTCCCTTCATCATCTCTACTTTGTTCTCCTGGATCTCATTTGAAAAAGAAATGTAGTATACAGGCTTTGATTGACTATGGGGCTTAGCTTGCCTAGCCCTAACCCTCTATAAGCCCTTTTCTCCTTTATTTTAATTTTTTTTTTTTTTGTTTTAGTGGTACTCAGGCTTGAACTCAAAGCTTCATTCTTGCAATACAGGCACTCTGCCACTTGAGCCACACTGCCAGCCAACCCTTTTCTCTTTAATAGAGTAAGGTATTATCTTCAGCTGTGTAGCCGCTGTCCTGAATCTGAAGAATATTTTCCAGAAGGCTGCAGATATCAGTAAGCCTATGCAAGAGTGTATGGAGGATCTGCATTCTTCATGGAGTAACTCACAACTGAAGCTGCTGTGGAGTTTTTTTTAACAACTAGAATTTCCCCTTTCACTTTGATATCTTTTTTGTAGTTTTCTTCCCAATTAATCTTTTACAGTGACCTAGAATCCCGCAGGGATGTGAAGAGAGAGGAAGGAGAGGCCTTTGCTCGGGAGCATGGACTTATATTCATGGAAACTTCAGCCAAAACGGCCTGCAATGTTGAAGAGGTACTATTTGGGAAAATGTGGGGACAGCTTTTCAGAGATTACAACATTTTCTTTGTCCTTCTATTCAGAATTCTCTTCCCCTATACGACATGGATAAAGAAAGGATGTATTGTGGTTATAGTGATCAAATACCCCCTTTTAAGGGAATTGTCTCATTTTTTTTTTATCCTGATTCCTGAGATTTTACTTTTGTTTTGGGTAACATTAATTGGTAAGTGTGGATAAACCACTCTAACTTGTAAGTCATATTAGTTGATGAATCTAATGAATTGTGAAGAGATGGTACTCACCATCTCTTCACTAATAGAGAAGGGAGTATATTTGGTTTTTTTATAGAGGCTGCCAATCTAGGAGTCGTAGGAGCATCTTGGGTCAATTTCAAAATGCCATAGAATGTTCTTTTCTTTTACTTTTTTATGTGGGGTCTTGTGTGTAACCCAAGCTGGTCTTGGACTCATGATCTTCCTGCCTTAGCCTTCCAAGTGCTGGAAGTAGTAGGGTACAAGCATGCACCAGTACACCCAGTTTTCCTTTTCTGTTTTTGAAACTATATTCAAGTGCTCTTTTGGGTTTTTTGTTTTGTTTTTTTGTGCTTGTTTTTGTTTTAAGACAGGGTCTTGCTGTGGAATGCAGGCTGGCCTTGAACTCTTGATGCTCCTGACTCAGTCTCTGGAGTGCTGGGATTACAGATATGTACCACCATGCTTAGCTATGTTCAGTGGCTTTTACAAAGCCTTCTATATTTTTACTCCCTTCTGCTGGTTCCTAATTTACCTTAGAAATTCAAATAAGAATAATATTTGTGTTCTGTTTACATCATTTCTGTACCTAAACTTAAGACTGGTAAATTATTTATGTCTCCTCAGGCCTTCATTGACACAGCCAAAGAAATATATAGGAAGATCCAGCAGGGTTTATTTGATGTCCACAATGAGGTGAGAAATGGTAGGGGGAGGGGATTGGCAGTTAACTCTGTTTTGTTCTGAATGGAAGTGGAAGAGCTCTAGAATGTAAGCATTCCCCATCTAATATTCACACTAATTGCAGCTCTGCCTACAATTCATGCTGTTTGTTTTGTTTATAATGTACATACATAGAAGCCTGTCATCATTTTCTGTTTTTGCTCAAGTCTAAAATCCAGAACGTGACAAAGATTTGTAGTTGGTTATCTAAAAGACTTATACTATATGGTACTTTTCCTTCTTAGCCTCAGTGTCTTACTATTCTAGAGCATAAGAGAGATGTAATTCTTAATTGCTTTGGAGGGCTATTTCTATAAGCAAATTCTAGGACAAAACAAAAAAGAATAATATGCTAATATGATACTTCTACTTTTTTACCTCCTGTTATTCTTAACTAATTACATCTTAATTTATACATAGCTATGAAAATTAAGAATAGCAATACGCCTTAAAATGGGCACAAAAACTTGTAGTCAGCAACTACTCATCTCATCCTTCCACAACAGTTCAGCTAGGTCACATGGTTACCTGACAAGGTCATATCTGTTTTTAGAATGTAACTGTTGGTTTCTCCTTTATTGCCCTCCTTTATCTCATTCACTTTAGCACTTAGGTGGGAATTATTTTTCTTTTACAGGCAAATGGCATCAAGATTGGGCCCCAACAGTCAATTTCAGCATCAGTGGGACCCAGCACCTCTCAGCGGAACTCTCGTGACATAGGGTCTGACTCTGGCTGCTGCTGAACATCTGACCTGAACTCTTTTTTCTTCCTGGAACAGGTTCAGATCAATAGGTTTAAAGAAAGAGGTCTTACTTGCTTTGGCTAAGAGCAGCCTCTTTTCAAGATGTTTTGCCTTTCCACCTAAAAGACCAGGGGAGAATGTGGGCCCTTACTGACCTGTCCTTCTTCAGGGACGTGAGCATTCCATATAGATTAGAGCTCTTCTCATCTCATTTTAAGTTCTGCAATGTTAGGATCAAAGTTGATTGTCACCATAGTTCAAATATAAATAATTCATTAGCATATATAATCTGCTTCTCACCAAGAATTAGTACGAAGGGTCAAAGACACGCTGATTGAACACTTGAGATTACCAGGATCTGGCTTGCTGGCCTTTGAATGACAGATCCTCTGCCTAGGAATTTCATTGAGTTATTTACTTCCTTGCCTTTGGGGATCAACCTGCCATTTCATAAGAGCATCTGCAGGAGGAAGTTTCTTTTGCTTGCTCAAGGAAGTTGAATGCTTCTCTACTGTCCCATTGCTGTGTCTCTTAGAGTAACTACAAAACTTTTGAGAGCAGTGGAGTTGGCCTTAGACCTATGGCCACTTATCTTTACCTAAAGAAAACATTCATTCCCTGTTCATTTTGTTTTAGAGACCAGATCTAACATGACAGCGTCTTTCACTAAATTGACCTCTACTGTTAGATCACACTTACTTCTTAACTATATCTACTTGGACTTTCTAATCAAGCCAATCTGCTTACTGAACACAACATATCTATTCCTACTTCTGTACATTTGCACATGCTCTGCTCTCTACTGACGTAAGTCCAACAGTACTTCCTTTAGGAAACCTTCAGTGACTGACTTAGGGACTTCTAAGCAATTTTTGAGACAGTATCCCTTAGCATTCCCCTGTTGGCTATTCATATGTACATTTGTTTGTATGTACTATGTAAATATGTTTTGTAGTTGTTTTATGTGTGGAAACTGTGTCCTCATTTGGTTGTAAGCTCTAGGAGAGCAGGATCCATGTCATCCCTCTATTTTTGTAAACCACTCCCGCCACCGTTCCTTCACAGTGCCCAGGGCTACTCATTATGTGATCATTAGATGTGACGTACTTTAAAACTTAAAATTTATCGTAGACTTTAGAGAAGACAAAAGGCTTTAGAGTCATCTCTTCATAATTCTCAGTCTCTTTATCTGCTTACACTGGGTTTAATATTGCTCATCTCCTCTCCTGCCTTTCTTGGGATCATTGCCTCCATTCTATGCAGCATACAGTAAGGCTGTCTCCTATGAAGCAGTTAAATAAGTGGATACTTCTCCAGCCCTTCTTTTCAGAGTATATAACACTATCTTGGCCAAATTTACCTCTGCTTCACTCATCATACAGCCTTTGGGGTCAGTTACTATCTTTTTCTCCTGGATGTGTCATTTTCTTCCACAGCACTGAGGTCTCATTAATTTTTCTAACTTTTGTTGTTAACGAATTGTTTCATTATTAAATATATGCATGTATCCAAACTGCTCATACTCCATGTGTCATTTATGAGTATATTTCAAACATACGTAGATACTCTTCTTCTAGGGTATTGTATCAAAGATATAGAAGAAGCCTCCTTGTGATTCATTTTATACTGTATTTTGCTGCTAGTATTTGTAGTGAAGTTAACGCTATACCAGAGGACATTGAAAGACATTTGGGACAATATTTTATGTTTTTTTGTTTTTTTAAAATCCTACCTCATTCCAAAAAGGATTTGAGGTTGCTGAATTTAGAGTTAGTCTGCTTCCTCATCTCATGAACAAAACTAAATTATAAAACTAGTTTCTATTCAGATTTTCTTTATTATTGAAAAAATTCTTTAAAGCATTGGTCAAAGATAGCATTCTGCCTAGAGTTGTTTTCAGAGCCATTAAAAGGAAATATTTTGATATCTTTATGCTTTTTTTTGGTGGGACTGAGGTTTGAACTCAGGGCTTCATGCTTGCATACCAGTGCTCTACCACTTGAGCCACACCTCTAGTCCATTTGCTCTGGTTATTTTGGAGATGGGGTCTTGAGAACTGTTTGTCCATGCTGGCCTTGAACTGCAGTCCTCTGATCTCAGCCTTCCAAGCAGCTAGGATTGTAGGCATGATGTATATTTTCTTAAATCCTAAATCCCACATCCAGTTCTAGTATTCAAACCCATTTATAACCTTTTGTGCTGGGTATTTTGCCATTTGTAAAATGAAAGAGAAACATCTGTAAATTCATGACCTGTGTTCTGAGTCAAGTGGTCATGGAGAATTATAGAAACATCTCCTGCTTCCATGTGCAGAATGTTAGTTAAGAAGTAATCTGGGTGTTGATTGGTTTTTGAAGCCAATACCACTGGAAATCATACAATTTATAGCAAAAGATCACTGTAGGTAGCAGGAATGATTGGGTCAGGCACTCCTTTTCCCATTTTTATAATGCCTCTGATGGGTTCCTTTGTTGTCAGGTTCTGTTTTCTGTACCAGACAATAATGAGAATTGTAACAGGCTCTCATTGTAGAAACCATAGCTGTATATGCATTTACAGATAAGCACTTTATTCTGGTAAATCCTAATACCTCAAATTTAGTATAATGGCAACAGTAGCTAAGGAAGAGTTTGGCTAACAGATTCTGTCCAATAGACAGGGAAATGTATTTAATTAAGTCTATCACTTCTAATAAAATGCTGACTTACATGACTTTTTATAAAAATTGGTCATGTGTGACCATGCAATTATGTTACTGCTTGGGAAATTCCTTTTATGATCTGGAAGGACTCGGTTCACATGAGAGTTCTCCAATTTTTGAGACAAGAGTTTTGCTTTGTGGCCCAGGCTGGCCTGGAACTCACAGTCCTCCTGCCCAGCATCCTGAATGCTGAGATTTTTTTTTATTTAAACACTTCTTGTAGCAAAGTTTCATAGCGGTAGAGCTTTATATTAGGAAATGCAGGAAAATCTTTCCCACTGAGTGCAATTTCACCTGTCATGGAATTACTCCCTTTCAGTGTAAATGCTGTTATTAGAAAATGACTGGCAGTGTTCCTAAGGCTGCCCCCTAATGGTCCTCCTCTGTACACATAATTTCCCTAAGTCTACGGTTTCCACTCTGTATTCACCAGTAGTTTGGAACTACTGAATTTTAGGCCTTTTTAAAAAAAAAAAAGCTGGTGGAGTGGCTCAAGTGATACAGTGCCTGCCTAGCAAAGCCTAGCAAGCATGAGGTCCTGAGTTCAAGCCCCAGTGCCACCAAAAAAACAAACAAAAAACAGAGTTGGGTTTATATACCCTTCTCTCTCTAAAATAAAAAAAAACAACACACATGGGATATTTACTCCGTGCTGCTAAAATCAAAAGAAGTAGAATAGATACATAGCCTGTGTTGATATGTGCTGGTTTTCTGAGGGGTGAGGTACTTGTAAAGGGTCCCCTAGGAACTGGTTAGACCCACTGTCATTCGAAAAAGTGGTTTTTGCTTCTTTGATTTGGTAACACCGTATCGCTCCTACAGTTAGGCGACGGTGGTTACCAGTAACCACGTCCAGCATTAGTCCAGAGTTCCTCACCATGACAGAGGAACAGCCTCGCCATATGGAGGAGTGTGAGGCTGGACCTACACCGTGGGACACATCGTCGAAAAGGGCTTCAATTCTTTAAGCACGCCTTTCCGTCCCCGCCCGCTAGGCACCAGCCGGATCCAAGATGGCTTCCCCAAAACAGGTAACTCAGTGCTGTTTTAGTTTAGAGCGCCCCCAATGGCAGGAGCCAAAAAAAAAGATGTCTGAAGACAGTCCACCTGCGAGCTGAGCCTTCAGAGGTGAGCGGCTGCCAGATTTTATTTTCAATCAGGCATATCTGTGGCCACCCAGGTACCCTTCTCAGCTTTTCAGGACCTCCCACCTCTACAGACTTCCTGGATGGTGCTCACCCTACCCCGCTGGAGAGGCCGGGCTTCGGCCCTGCCATTGGCGGGAGGGCGCGAAGGGGGCGGACCCAGAAAGCATGGACTACTAGCAAGCTAGATTGAGGCGAGGGCTGGCCATGCTCCGCCGGAAGGCGCCTTGTTCTCTGAGACGGTGAGTTGAAACGCTGACCGGGAAGGAAGCACCAGGACTTGTTCAGGTAGGCTTCCCGCTCTCGCCTGCTCCTCGGTGCCGCTCCCAGAGTCGCCACCGAAGCGCAGGCCCTTGGATGGTCTCGGTAGCTCCTCCTCCCTTCTCGTACCCCATGCCCGCCCCTCGGTTTGGAGGGATCAGGTGCTGGGTGATGCTCTGGACTGAACCATTCTCCTTTGTGAGAGGCTGGGGACCAGCACGGCGCCCGGCTGCGAGGGCCCCCAGGAGTTTTTAGAGCTTGTCATTGCATTGCTGGGCGTGGCGTAGATGTCTGTGAGGAAGGAAAACTCCCCGGCTCCGGGGCTCCCTCCACACTTCGGACTCAGAAGTGGGAGGTTAGGGTCTTTTCCCTTCTTTTTTGAAAGCCTGGGGTGCGCCTGTGCACGTTGTTACTCACTTTTAGGTGCAATTTCTGTGCGTCTTGTGGAAGAGTGGTTAGAGATACGGGGAGAGAGAAGTCGAGCTTGCATCTGCCTTGACAGGTCTGCAAGCTCCCTGGCTCTCTCTGATTATGTAAACTTCTCTGGCAGAGGATCCCTCCCCTGCCTCGGAGCCGACGCGCCTTCTCTATTTATCTGCCTCTACTGTCGCAGGAGTTTCCCTGCCTTTGCAGCAGTTGTGCAAATGCAGGCGCTCATTTTTTTTAAAGGGGCAGTCCTGAAGTGATGAAGACGGTTGTAGTGGACCAGTCTTTTCAATGACTGAGCCGTTAAGCAGAGATTGAGAGCTCTGTCATTTTCTTTTAAAGACTGCACATAATGGAGCAGCTCAGACACAAGCGAGGGCAGCTGCATCATCGGTGTCTGCAGCACCCTTCCATCACATCAGCACCCACAGATCACCAGTCATCTGCGTGTTCTGAGCTTGTCGGTTCAGTCAGGGCTGGGGCATCCCTAGTAAACGTAGTATCAGCTGAGGTTCCATCTTTTGTGGGACACACTAGATCCTGCACAGTGAACTTGTGATTTGGATAGTATATTCTGTTAATTACAGAATCTCTTCTGCTTAGGAATTTCTTTCACATGGTCATTCAGTAGGTTCCAAAGTTGTGGTCAACTTCATAAGGCCAGGAGTGGTTAAGTTCTAGTCAACTATTTTCTTTTTTTACCCTTTTTTTTTTTTTTTTTTTAGTGGTACTGGGGTTTGAACTCAGGGCCTTATGCTTGCTAGGCAGGTGCTCGACTACTTGAGCTACTCTGCCAGCCCTCTCTTGTCACCTATTTTTGAATTATTCCAACCCTTAAAAGACAACAACAACAACAAAAAAAAGCGGTAAGAAAAGCAACATTTCTTTTTAAAGAAGACCTTTTGCAAGAGTGGCAGCCAGTGGCAGCGAAGCAAGGTGAAGAATATTGGCCAAAAAGAAGGTAGTCATGTGTGTGACAGAGGCTCAGTGGTAGAGCATGTGCATAGTATGCACAAGGCCCTGGATGCAGGTTTAAAACTGAAATAACAAAGGAGTAATGGGTTAGGATAAGGGATTTCATTGAAAAATGTATAGATAAATACTTGCATAGGTCATACTTTTCTTGTTTCCTCTATTCTGTGCATCTGACCTTTTGATTTTGTCACTTCTCAAATTAAAAAAACCCTTGAAGATGTGGATAGAACATGTATCTGCTGAGTTGGTCTTGAATCACCAGGAAACATATCTTGTATTTCCCAGGATGCACCCCTGAATGATAGGGTGGAGGAATCTTGCATTGTGGTACCCATCTCTGTAGAATTTTGCTTGTAACAGGCAAAAAACTGACATTTTATGTTCACATAAAATTAAGGGCTTAAATTTAAGGATTAAATTTCTGGTAGGTAACAGATGGTGGCAAGAGCATGCCTTAAACCATTAGACAGTCTTTGAAAAGGGACCTTTTTTTAAAAATTGTGGAACTGGGGATTGAACTCAAGGCCTTGAGCCATTCCACCAGCCCGAAAAGGTAGTTTTTTTGTTTTATTTTTTTTTAAAGCTATACTACCACCATTTAAGACTAATTTGTGGGTGCCAGCACTGTGCTTTCTAACTGAAAGAATGAGATTTACTGTTCTCATCCATGGAAGAACTGTAACATGCAAATGAATAGTAAATATTTTAGTGATGTTATTTATCCACAGTCCTGGAAGTTAACCTATCTTCTGAGCTTCCATTGAGCCTCATACCTGGGAGAAAAACAAAAGACAAACATTTCTCCTGAGCCTCCACTTTTACCCCCTAGAAGTCACTGCACTCCTATACTTGCATCTGAGCAAGTCTCTGCATTACTGTGACCACCCTGGTATTTACTGTTTTGTCTTTACCATTTGATTCATTGATAGACTATCATGTTTCCTGTCTCACTCAGTTTATATTTTTATCTCCTCTTTGATGAATTTTTTATC